ATATGTCGTGTGTGAATTTGTGGGGGTTGCACAGTTCAGGGGCATAACACTTCTCTGGTATCCCTGTAGAGAGTTATGGCCCATTAGACAGATCCTGTAATCAATACACACCCCATCGTCCCAAAACCCATCATTAACATTGATGTTGGACAGCTTGCTCTTACTTGTCTCCCCAAACCAGGAGTCCTGCTTTCTCCGCTCCAGCTGGTGTGTCTGTTTGTAGGTTGCAATTGGGTCCTGTTTTGGCCCTTGTGCGCCACATGTTTTTCTAATTGCTACCACAGACTAAAGTATGGTGAAAATTAGGTACTACTCAGCGTCTGGACCCTAGACATCTTCCTGTTGAATTTCTGTTTTGTTTATTTGTACGTCTTTGTTCATTATAATAAATATAATACGGAAATAATGAAGACAGTAGAAAGAAACGTGGCCTTGTAACACATATGCTTCTCTTTTTTTCATGGTGTCATGGTGCAAAAGAAGTACACATGCTCTAGCAGATCTCTCAGCAGTAAGTCTAAAAAGCAACTTGATTGACACTTAGAACAACTTAGAGAGCAACATTAACAACAAGCGGCTCTCTCCTTCAGTCACACACACGCTCAGTGAGGCCACAGTGTTGTTAGGCAGCCCATAGCCAACCATATATCATAGCACCCTCCTGCTTAAAGACCATATGGAAGTTGTTGGGGTGTGATCCCTCAGGAGGATGGGGTTTGTGGCTTTTTGGTGAACACCACGTCTCACAGAGTCAGCTTTACAAGTTGTGGGCACACGCCCCCAGATCCAGATATTCTCCACAGAGCGCCCCAGCATGTGGCTCATTAGAAGCTGAATGTGGGAGTTTGAGGGGTGCGGTGGAGGCACGGTATAGCGTGGCTAAAAGTAATGTACACAGTGTCATGGGTCAGCTGTAGGTTAACAAAATCCCCCCACAAAGCTGAGGTGGGTTAGGAGAATAAAAGCTCCAACTACTGTATTGGATTGAAAAACCCACACTGTGATTGAAAAATGTGCATCTATGACAGAGGTACCTTAATCCGGTGAAATATTACCCTTGTAAGATTTACCACAAAGAGAAAATAAAGGATCAGTCAAACAGTGTCAGTGTCTCCCTCCCTTCTGGTTCTGATTAGAACAATCGAGAAGTTTGATTCTGAGCGTTTGAGTTACGGTAACAGCAGTTTCATTGTAGACAGAAAAAGTTAGTGTTTGGCAAGCTGAAATGATAGCACTTGGACTGGCAACCATGTGGAAATCACATGTTGTAAAGAGATTAACACTCCCTTGAAATGATTAACATTGAGAGGCAATTGTATTAACTGCTCAATAGACCAATTCGTACTTCTTCAGTGCATATGTGAGTCCGGATGAGAGGCACATTTTTAAGCTCGTCTCTCCCGGCTGCCTCCCACAATCTTAAACACTTGACCTATTTTATGAGATCTGTCAGGATCTGTGGTGACTCCTAAAGAGAGGCTCCTGTTGTCATCACAGGAGGTTTACCAGACTACCTATTCAGCCTGTTACGGTTTTGTACTGTTCTGTATGTTTTTGTGCAAATTCACAGCAATTTGTAGAGCATATTTTAAACTATGTCAAGGCTTTAGCCTCTTCACAAACTATCTCTATCCACATGCAGGCTTAATACACACATTCTACCAATGGTGTTATTATGACCTCATCTGCTAGAAATGGCCACACTGCAACAGCCAGCCAGAGGTTATGATCGCGACTGCAACCATTATTTCTAATGCCTTTTTATCTTTCATTCTCATCTCACAACTCCCTGTCTCTCAGTTACAAGGGTCGAAAGGGCCTTTAGTCAAGCCTTTTGCCATATTCTACTAAATTCTAATCTCCGGAGCAGCTCCCAGCCTCTAAATCTCATAATGGCCCATAATGTGCTCAGTAGAGAGCCCTTCAGTCCATGAAAGATTATTGTGATTATGCTTTCATTATCAATATTATTTTCAAAATGTTCTAGTCACAGTAGTACCGATGACCGGTGTAAAGTGAGGAGATTTCTCTACATGTTTAAGTTATGTCAGATATTGGTTTCAAATTGCGCCTTGCTGAATGAAAGGACTGTAAAGATTTGATGGGTTGTGTTACTCTTGAGTCACTGAGAGGGGAAGGTTAATCTCTGGTGGGTTGTAATGGATTGGAAATGAGAGTCTTGCATGGGGGGGGGGGACAAGAATGGCAATTTCCCCTGGATATACACGCACACGCAAACCTAAGCTTATAACAGGTATCTGTAACCCACTAGAGAAATTATGAGCCATACTTACCTCAATAAAGACCCCGGGGTTACTTCATTATATGTACAGAATAACTGTGTGATCGCCTCAAATCCAAGCAAGAACTATGACAATATATATAACTTAGTTTTATTGTTTATATTATTAGAAAAGTGATCGTTTAACCCCTAAGTGAATACAATTTGTAGAAGATGGATAACCATACCCGTCAGGCAGTTCTTTAGAGATGTTACTCAGGAAGTAAAGACCTTAAAGTTTCCCATTTAGCTTAAGTTTGGCAGCACTGGAAGTAGAAGAGATACACAGACCTCAGACTCACTTAAATAAGCTGAAGATATTTAAGCCATAGAAAATGCTGCCATATTATTTTCTTTTGTTTTATAACTGATTTGTCTGGATCAGCATGTTTGTTTGGAAGGGTCAAAGCTGCCAACAACAGTCTAATCGTCTCCTCTTTTCAGATGACTGGATCTGGACACAATCTCTCAAAACTTGGCCAGTCTGTCTTAGTCATAATTAAGGCTGAAGTGGCAATGCCAGGAATGTTTGCCATTTCTCCCTCTTTTATTTCCAATGGATTCTCATTTTATTATTACTCTCGCAAAGTAATAATTGCTGCACATATTTGTGAAATGGATGGAATGTGAGGCAATTAGTTTTAATGATGTGCAAGACGAATCTGCATGACAGCAATTACTGCGACAATGTGTTCAACAGCCCAGAGGCAGGACCCAGAGACAACACAGACAGGCAGTGACAGTGTATCCCCCGGCCACGCAACAGGCTTCAGGTGGGGCACATGTCAGGCCCAGAGTCACTGACCTGTCCAGGCTATTGTGAGCACAGGCGACATGTTTGTCTGGTGTCTATTCTGTGCCACACAACTGAAAACAGGTCACACGTCACACAATTGAACACATATCCCACCGTAAGCCAACCGTGAACCTCCATTTATTGGGTTATTTTCCTGCCCAGTGCTATTTCACATTTCAGTTCAGATAGTTTATTTGAAGAATGGTGTTTCACACATTACCAAGTCCTCCCCCTGCAGCATAATGTCACTGGAATCTGTGGCCCATTTGAGCCACCGCTTCATCCCCAAACTTGAGGTTAAACAGACTCCGGACAAGGCGGTGGCACCCAGCCAGCCCGTACTTTAGTTAGATGATGTATTTAACTCCTTGCCAAAGAGAGCTCAGACAATTCCTATTTTATCCCATGATGGAAAATTCGGATCACATACCAAGTTATACAAATCCACCACCACATTTCTCTAAATGTGTATGCTTCATCAAAAAAGGGGCTACATTTTCCTCAGAGTAGTTAAAAGGAAATGCTTGAATGGATTAGTTGGTTTAAATAAAATTTGCTTCACCATGGAGCAGAAGAGAGTGGTGATCTGATATTTAATCCTCAATTTGTTAGTTTTCCTCATCATACCACAGACTGACTGTATTTAATGTGGTGGTTTTTTATTTGCATGTATCGTGATCTGAGAAAACTAAAATACAGAGCTCGGCTTGCCTTTTCTTTGTGGGAAAATGCCTGTGGAATGCGGATCTGTCATGTTTCTTTCTGTCACTTCAGTTTTAAACTCATGTCATCAGGAACAACATTTTTGGGGTCCAGCGTGCTTTCTCTCAAGACTAAAAGAAACATAAACTGGCCCCAGAGTGTGAGCAGTATCGCAATAACAGGAAGCGTGCAGCAGGTAGAGCCCCGTTCGCACCCAGTGGGGCCCTTTTCGACTGCCAGCACTCCTCATTGCCAAGAGCTGTGGCAGCGTTCCTGCCTGCGATCTGTCAGTGTCCACAGCATCTGTGTCAATAGCATTCCATAGCCCTGTTGACAGAGTGCCTCTGTTTGCTTTAGCCACCCCAGACCTGTGGCCTGATTTACTGTTTGAGGACAATGCCATAAATCCTCAAGTGCCGTCTACTACATACATTTGTGTCACAAGATCGAGAGCTCGTTTACTTGAAATTGTGTGCCGCTGATCTTTCAGCACTTCAAGTATCTGGGGTGTGATGGGAGGATGTGGGGGTGGGCTGGTAGAGTGACACAGATTATTTTTCCATGACCATGAAATGACCTCAGCACTGTGTATTTGCAGACTATTGATAAATATTATGCACACATTCATCTTTTAGGTACAGTAAGCCCCTTCAGATTCCGTTTGTTTTTCAAATAGAAGATACAGCTCTACAAGCCATTTCTTTGATGAAGTGTCAGCTATTTGCAGTTGGCCTCCAGTAACCAGTTTTTCCCATTCGCTCATTTTTTTATGACCTCTTACTTTTATTACCTTTTTAAGCTGCCTGTGTTACAGTGAAAGCGCACACTGGATTCTAGATCAGTGACCAAAGATATTTTTAGGAAATCACTCCGAAATGCCGGTGGCACTAAACTGAGCCATGAACCTAGACTATAGAGTTTACCTCAGCAAGAAATTGGATAAGGATTTAATGTAAGTGACCATATACATTCAGACTAAACAGGGCAGTTAAAGACTCAAGAGAAATTGAACATGACAGCCCCGGGCTCTCTGCTGAATGAAAAGAACGAAAAAAGGGTTAAGAAGTGAAACTAATGGCCCCTTGATTGAATCAATTTAAAGTGAGCCCCTGTGTTGAGATCAGGGAAAGCCATTTCTGCTACTGCTCCTTCATACAAGGGGGGCACATGCTCTAACATGACCTGCTGAAAACATGATCTCCATCTGTGCTCTCTCTTCAGCTGACTGCCAGCCCCCCTGTCAGAACCGTGGCTCCTGCAGCCGGCCACATACCTGTGTGTGTCGCTCAGGCTTCCAGGGGCCCCGCTGTGAGGAAGTGGCTCCTGAGCAAGTGTACATCCGTGATGGAGGCGGCCTGAGGCGTGTACAACCCGGGACCAACCCTTTCCAGAGAGACCAACCACGGAGAAGGCCCTCAGAAAGGCAGGCCATCGATACCGCCAAGGTCCAACCCCCACGACCTGCGACCACCAGACAGCCTGTACACACTGTGTAAGTGATGCAGCTGTGCTTCCTCACCTCTTCTTATTATAGCCCGAAAGAGCCTCAGCTTTGCCAAATAAGGAAAATAACATTTTACGAGAAGTCCTCCAACAATTCTAAATTTGGATTGACATAGGTATTACTTGTAGGGCTAGTTGGTTAACTACCATAACTGACGGGCTAATGGCTATCACACTAGCAAGCCTGAGCATTTGTTCTCATGATTGTACATGATTTCATTTAATAAAGATAAAAAAGCTTGTTAGTTAGTTAGTTTCATAACTGTTTGAAAACCATTTCTGTTTGGTGGCAGTTGACAGTTATACTGAGGGGGGTTAAATAAAAGTAGCTGGAGCAACACAGACAATGGGGTACAGTAGCTTCCTCTATGTTAGACTGTCAGACTGTTCTTCCAGCTCTTTTATCAAATGTCAGTACTGTCAAGATGGTTTGCTATTGTCAACAATGGTGCAAATGTGTAACGCTGTCCCCGAAAACTTGGAGGCGTATTATATATGCAGGTGATGCAGTTAGAAAGGGGCCTGCAGCAGTCCAGAGCCCGTAATGGACCACTTGTATCTGCACCACTGCTCCGATTAATTAAATTTTTTTACATTTACTGACATTTTGTCAGTAATGTCAATGTGGTGCGCCGTCACTGATCATCATTGTTCCTGTGTGTCATTGTGCCTCATCGCTAATAGGATCATGTTTTCAACTGTGTGAAGGTGCGCTGTTATTGGTTAAGAAATCAATTCTATCACTTTCTTAGCCTTGCTATTATGACTCATCTCTATAGCACGGCTGTCTGTTTTCATTTAATTTTGGTGTCAACTGTGCAGTGCATTTCGCTGTTACTGGCCGTTTTAAACTTGCATGGTTTCACTTTTTTAAGTCGCTACTGACATTACATCATGTTACGTCTGATTGTGATGGGACGGCCCGCTTTAATCATCTTGCATTGGGGCCTGGCGCTGACTCGCTACGCCGCTGGGCAGTCGGTAAACTTCACAAACCGACTCCGATGCTCTCTGCTCTGGTCCCGACAGTCAGTGAAGTCTGCTAGACCTCATTTGAACCAGCAGGCCTCTATTGCTGTCCACTGCGATTGACTCCTGGGCTGATAGCACTATAAGGAGCAGAGATTATATATCCCGATCCACAATGTCACTGCTGCAGACAGAGCGACCATAACCAGAGATTTTGGTATGATGCTATTGTACAGTGATATACTATAGAGGCTCAGTGAGTTTTGAACCTTTTTTTATTTTATGTGAATGTAATATACACTGTTATATACTAAAGTATATCAAAGCACAGTGAGTCTTGAACCTTTTTTTTTTAATTTAGTGAACGTAACATACACTGTTAATAATATACAGTATTTTGTGGTTTTGTACTGAGAGATATTTTTTGAGCGACCATTACTGTCATACAGGAAGGCTCACAGAAAACAAATTGATACACTACTCTAGTAGAAATTATTATTACGCTGTTGAACAAACAGTAGTTCATTACACTGCTGTTCAACGCTGGTTGTGTTTATCGTTGCAATAAATCATACCAGATGAATGGGTTCATATGTTAAATCTTTAATACACTCTAAGTAAAACAAATACTGAGTAAAGCAAGTCAGCATTTGCTGCCATGCCTGAAAAAGTATTAAAGTAAATATGCAAAATGTAGGAAAATATAACATGATTTACCAGACATAAGTATTAACCCTATTTGCAATGAAAATAGAGTAGGAAGATTATATTTTCTTTAGGCTTTGACTGTTTCACTTTGTTTTTTTGATTTATCGGAATAACTGTGACTATAATGTATCCAACTAATAATTGCTCAGACGAAGGCCTCTTTCAGTGCATTCAGCAAATTCCCCAACGACTGCTAATCAGACAGGCCTAATAGTTTCTTGGCTTGAACATCTGACTGTTTTTGTTCCAATCTTGTTGGAAATGATTTTTTGGCTTGATTAATCACTTTACCATGACTAGAACCATATTCTTGATCAAGTATGTTGAAAAGGGAGTAATTGTTTCCGGGAATATTTTGATGGATCGTTATTGCTTACAGGTTCAGACTTATCTTGTCAAATTGTGCTCCATTTTGGACTCGGGCCCAGTGCTTTTCTAATCCTCTCACAGTCGAATAAAGTGCCATAATTTGTTTGGGCACTGAGGTCATCATTCACTTTTTAGCCAGTTTGTCATCTGGGTAATTTCTCTCCACCAAACCACTTAAACATTCTCAATTACATCTGACATTTATGGTGCCCCTCGTGCTAATTGTGAAAGTCTTGTGTCATTTTATGCTTTTGCTGGTGTTATGGAATTACGCTGGCTGAGCCATCCGCATGTTTGTGGTAGCTCAATGAAACTCTACTAAATGTTTTGGCAGATGGTTCATAAAAGAGTTTTAATACATCCTCCTTCCCATAACGATTATCTTGGAGTCATAGTAAATCTTCTAATCAATACAAGACCTCTGAAGACTGCACAGTTGCTATGCATATGTTTTCTTTGTTCTTGACTCACAGGACATTTTTGCGTCCTGAGTCACAAATCTGGGATAAATAGAAAGAGACAAGGTTGCAGGTTCAACATCGTAAGAAGCAGACAGTGTTCCTGAGTCATAAATGACCCTGCTATGACTGTGCCCACTTTTCACATTTCTGCTGAAGCTGACTAACAGTTCGTAAGAGGTGCTATTAAGTTCAAGATGAGCCATTTCCCCATTCTGCTGGCTCCAAGCATGCAGCTTAGACTAATCTAATTATTATTTGTTGTAACCAACAGAATTTTCTGAAATTTGTAGGACAAAATAAAAGCTCCTGCCAAAATTGCAAAATGTCTTTTAAACATTAGTCAAAGAATTATTTGAATTCTTGACTCTCTCTCATTTGTGCTTCCAGGAAGCTATTTGAGTGCTTGTGTAATTCACATTTAAAGCTCAGCCCCCGTGAACTGTTTCAAATGTTCTGCATTCTCTCGGCCCAGAATGATCTTTTAGGGGTGGAACAGTGTTCCCCCTGGAGAAGTGGTAGATGCAAGTCTTGGTTTCATATATCAGGCTGAGGTTCCACTGTTTGCAAAGCCAGGAAAGCACGAGCAATGTGAGGTCACTGGGAGTGAGAGTCAGATAGATGGACAACACCACTGCCAAGGCTCAATTAAGGAGTAAGAAGAGGAGCAGGGGAGGACAGAAACTCGGGCTCGGATAGATGTTGGTCTTGTCCCCACTGTTGTACTGAGGGAGCAAAGGCCACCCTGTACATGCAGTATAGCCAGCCAGTCTCCTTTCATTTTCCCCTGCTAGTGAAGGTGTGAGGTACTATATATGTCTTTCTTGGAGCTGACTTGGCTTGTTATGTCAGCGGCAGCCTGTTACTGACCCAGCCTGTCAAGTGGCGCCAAGAAAAAGAAATAGTGTACAGAAGGAATGAGACAGACAAGGAGGGAGAGAACAAAAACAATGATAATAGGAGAAAACATCAATTAGAAAGAGAGAGAATGTAATCCATTCAGCTGACAAAGGTAAAGGGACTTTTAAGATTAAATTTCAGGATATAGTCAAAATTCAGTTGAACTTCTCCTTTCCAGACCTGCCACTTGGACCTTACCTCTCACTGTCCAGACAGCTATGAAAGCCCACTGTGTGCACATGTCCGCAGGTGGCAGACAGGGAAAGTGTAGTGTCTGCGGTCGTTTTTAAGAGGTTTGTCAACAACTCACTGAAGGTGACTCTTAACAAAGTTTTCAGTAGACCAGCACCTCAAACTCTTGCAGCTTTTTTTGATTAGGAATTGAGCAACCAGGGAGATGTTGTGGTCTGGATACTCTGCTGGAGGGTAAGTGTTTTTATTAAACTTTTCACTCCATAACCAAATAAAGATGATTTCAAAATTTTCTTGTTGTCTCCAAGAATTTATAATAATGGATTGAAGTAGCTCTCTTCGCTCTGGCATGGCATTGTTGGTGGGTGTTTTTAAACATGTGTCATTGCAGAAATTATTGAGTTGAGCAACATTCTCATACATCAAATCATTATAGACCCTGGGGTCTTGTAGTAGTAGTCATATTTGTAGTAGTCATACAGTTTGTCATTTACCCACAGGTTAACCAAAAGAAGTAAGAAAGTCTTCGAAACAACTCTTTCGAAGAAGGCCAGAGGGCTGAAATATCATCATCTAAATAAAACAGAAATGCATATAGAGCCTGAATGCACAATTATTTTTTTTACTCTCAATTAGTGGGACAGATACGTTATCGGCCAATAAAGGGAAATTAATGTGAATTATACAGATAATTAAATGATCATTATCATTATCAGTCCATAACAATAATAATTTATTTTGAACAATTCTGATGTCAGTTAGATTTGTTTAGAGCTATGGATTATTAAATCATCTTTGCTCACTACATGTTATGTTACATAATCTGGCAAAATAATGCATATTGTGCATCCCCACTCTCAAGTCTACATTCTGTGATCAGCACCTCAATACAACCCTTGCTGTGTATTATTTTTCTATATTATGTGTTCTGTCCTAACAGATTTTTTAAATGATTTGTCCCTATTGGCCACATCCATGGTGACAAATCTGTCCATCTAGAAAAAGTTGAACAGATGATATAATAGAATTTATCTTTGTCAAAATCTAAAGATGGCTGACTTGCTGTCAGTCCTGTATGAGCACAGCTGCATTCTGACATGTTATTTTAAAGAATAAACATTCTCAGGAAAAGTCCTACTAAGTGAATCCAGCACATTTATGCGTGACAGACTAGAATAAAAGTCATGTTGGGATGGACAAAACATATGAGGAGCCTTCTGTTTAATGGGATTCTGGGACATGGGAGTACAACTCCATACCCCACTCTCTCTTCTTGTGTTCCTGTCTCCAGTCTTCCACCTCTCCTCTGACCATTTCAACTGTGTCCCAAATGTCCCAGCTGCCTGTTCTGTGGGATTAAAACTGTAATGTTGAAAATAGGGACACCCTATATGCAGCTGGCAAAAAAATAACAGTTTCCTCCTCCTGTCCTGTGCTGTCTTTGCTGTGGAGCAAATGCGTTTCACTGTAAACCAGTACTTCCTGTGAGCGCTGTGCTCAGCAGTAGTGAAAGGCTTGTTCCTGTCAGCACAAGATCCTGTAGATCACAGCCAGTCTGTCAGCTCCCAGTATGAAGGTCAGGGCCAGTGGTGAACACTCCTGGCTAAGCTGGAACTCTGATAACGCACAGAGGACGTATTCAGCACCTCCTATGAGTCCTTCATATCAACTCCATACCCCCACCTTCTCTGACATCAGTCCTCTGCAGGAAACAGAGCAGGGCAGAGCAGGATGTGTGTGCAGTATGCAGGTCATCCCTCCAAAGGTCATCTCTCTCTGGTCTCTGTTACATAATCAGACTAAGGACAGCTGGTACCTGGATAACAGAGCACAACAGTTCAAGTTGTCTGGGTTCTTCTAATAGAACTTAAAGATGCAGTAAATTGGATAATTAGATCATATACTTAATTCTATTATTGAGAGAAGGAATTAACTAGTTTTGGGGTGGAGTTATTTTTAGTTATGTTAAAGCAAAATTGTGTCAATCCTCGCCGCTTCACCACTTCTTTGACATAATAAAACTGCATCAGTCACAGAAACCACTCTAAACTGCCCCTCATTGTGATGTTAGAACTGCAAATGGTAATCATATTCAGTTTCTACCTTTTCTGAAAACAGCAGCAAAAAAAACCAAAAAACAAAACACCCTCCTTCATTTCAATGAGGTCACTGCAGGGCTGCCAAATCTGACCAAAAAACGCAAGGTCATCCCAGCAGAAATCTTGAACCTGGCTCAACATTTGCAGATGTTATCCGGCAATGCAATGCGTTGGCCAATCAAAAATGTGCAAGCAGACAGATTACTTTGTAATCGGGAACGTATTTCTACTGTTTATCTGATGACCAGTGCAATTTGATATAATGATATAATAACATTTGATATACAATAAAGTATGATATTTAAAAGGATATACAATATGATCTGCTGCTTATACTTTAAGATATGGTACAATACAACAATTTGGTAGAGAAACCATGTGGATAAACTAGGGGTTACTAGGGATAAACTACATTTACCTGCAAATACAATTCATCACTATGGATGTACACATTAAGTGGAATATATATAATTAAATATAACATTAAATATAATGTTTTTGTCATTATAAAGCTCAGTGTTTCCAGGAACAGTCATCAATCAATCCCTTCCTGATGAGCTACCGACTCAACTTTAAGTGCCACATGTTGACATACATAAAAAGTATTTCAATTAGTTCCACGCAGTGTGGTAAACAGAATTTAGATTTGGTTTAGCTACTGAACCGGAAGAGAGAGCATTGGATCAGTTTATTACTATTTATCACCATTGGAGAAATGTTTCAGATTTAATATCGATGCATCAATGTCTTGGCCCATTACTTATAGTAATTGCTCTGTACAATATTGCAAAGTGCAATTTGCTTCAGGGTTGATTACAAATTTGGTCACACACAGTACCATACTGAGATAAAAAAAAATAAATAAAAAACACCCAGTAATATGGAGCAGAACGACCCTTAAGAGGTAATGCATACAGCTTTCTCCGTATTAACTGTTATGCTTATATCAGCCCCACCGTTTGCCCGGTGACTAATAGGGCTAGCGGTTATGTGGCTTGTTGACTCAAGGCTTTGCACATAGCCACACAGCCGTTTCTCAGAGGAAACTGTGGTTATAGTGGGAGTTCTCCATGTTAATCATGGATCACTGGTTGCTTTCACTCCCACTCCAGACAAACCACACCACCAGCGCTGACGGGAGCCACTGTCAGAATCCTCTGGGTGACCTCAGCACCTGTATAGAAATATTATTTTACTATCAACACCGATGTTCTGGGTAGTGATGATCACTGTATCCAGTGTAACAGAAATGCAGAGCTTGAATAAAACATTATCATAAACATTAAAAGGGAGTGGAAATTCACTCAACAAGTTTCTTATTACTTGGTTGAGAGGATAATAAATTGAAAGAGTAGCCCAAATCCCAGAGTAGCTTTCCATCGCATAATACTCTTGATGTCTTTGACTTTGATCAGATGTGTTTGTTCTTAAGACTAAAATATACACCCAAACATGCAGCCTGGGAAACTTTTCCTACTGTACCACCTGGCAGTCTGCTTTGCTACTCAAAGAGGACGTGTCCAGAATCATCCTTGTCTCCCTTTTCGGCTGCTGCCAAAACAGAGGAAGCCTGCAGACGGGGACTAATGTGGAGTAGAGGGGTAAAGTGCAGCATAATTCCCACAGGTTACATGTGCTGTTCGCTCCTGAATAGGGCTCTATCTTGCTTCTAAACCAGGCATATGACAGTGTGTCTAGAGCTGTGATTTGTATCCCTGCGTGGGTGGACTGGAAATGAACTTTAACAGGGTCAGGTTAACTGGCTTTCTGCTTGTGGATTGCCGGCGTGTTTGTTTCGCATGTCGGTTCTACAAACTTTACCTTTGCCCTGACCCCGGTCCCTGGTGAGCATTTTCTCTTTTCTTGTGATATGAATGTGATAGGGCTTTCCGGAGCATGGTTGGACATCCTCTGCCATGCTTTGTGGTGTTGGGGACCTCTGCTACTGTGGGTTTAACATCAACAGACTCAGTGCAGACTCAGCTATGTAGGCCACCCTGTCCTCAGGTGAACTCTCTACATGCTACAAAAAGCAAGGAAATGAATGTTAAATTTTGCATAACATATAATGTAGAAAATGAACCAAGATTGACTGAGCATATGTTGTTTGATATGTGTGTCTAAATGTACTGATTTTTGAATGTGAGCAGGCTTAACACACAACGATATTAACCGAGCCAGGGCAGGAAGAGTTGGTGTGTTTCTTTCGACAAACACAGAGCCAAACGAGTCCCATGAGTGTTTGGCTTCCTGCTAGGCCAGAGGGAACAAAGGACCATAGAGAACTCAGCACTCAGCGTGGGACAGATATGTCTATCTCTTTCTCTCCATCCCAACTCTCCAAAGCCCCATCCCAAAAACACGCTCTCTGAGCCGCGGTGCCAGCGGGCTCGGCATCCGCAGCCAAATCCTTCTCATCAAGTAGGCCTGTGCAGATGCAGCTGTTGGAGGGACAAATGCTGTACGGCCGTTATAGGAAGAAGAGCGCCTATCCCACAATGCAATCCAGCCTCCAGCTCCGGAGCTAAAGGCAGATGGAGACAGTATCAATCAGGCTCATCTCCCAGATATGGGGCATGGTGTTGAAAGCATGAATTAGCAGTATGGCTTTGCATGGAACCACTTAATCCAGTCAGATGTCAGGATGTAGGGTTCCTGTGGGGCCGAGTGGTGGAAAAGACCACCAAACGTACACAACCAACATGCTTGCAAGTCCAACAGACATGAATGTCTTCTTTCATATCCAGACGTTAAACTCTGCTTTGTGTTAGCCTTCTTCATGTCTACATTTTTTCCTCGTGTTCTTTGCAAACCTCTGGTAAAGTTTTTATTGCTCTCTCAACCGATGTTACAGGCTTGTTCAAAAATTCCCTCAATCACCTCTCTCATTGGAAACCCTCTTTGGCTTACTGTCAGAGCAGTCTGACATATGACACTGACCATCGTAGGCATAGTCTCAGTCAGCACTTTGTAATGGCTCTTCCTGCTGACCTGTCTTGTGGCATTTTACTAAGTGAATGATCAGAGCAACTACAATAAACTGGAGAGTATTGAATAGCCTCTCAGCTCACCATGTCTCCAGGCATTTTGATTCTGGCCCCTGAACCACAGCAACCACACTGCTTTGCTTCCATCCAGAATCAAGCCTTTCGGGATTTCTCAGAGCTTGAAAACCCCACTTTAAGAATGTTGAGGTGAAAACAGACAGATTGGCAATGCTACTGCCCCCCTGGAGATAAAAAAGGAACTGTTTACTTCACAGCTTTTGGCCTGTGATTGAGTAGACGGCAATAGTCATATGTTTTGATCATGCAGTGTCTGAAAACCTCAATGAGGTTGAATTTACAGAAAATCTATTTTCATGCAGGCGGTGGGGGAAGTCATACCTATAAAATTAAGTGGAACTTCATCTCCTCATTTGTCTGTGTAGCACTTTGGCTGATCCATATAATAGTCTTTGCTAAATAAATTTCTCAAGAACCTTCGCTGCTTTCAATTCTGCACTAAGTCCAGTTGTTGCTCTAATATAAGCCACATCCCCTGGGGCAAGAAAAAAAAAGTTCTTTCTGAATCAATCCAACCCCACTGCAATTCATTTCACCCAGGCTCTGGCTGCTACTAGCAGGATTCCTGGAAGGCCGTCCAGACAGAGAGAACATGATTTAATCCAGCCTCTGTGGCTAGTGCGATAAGCCCTCAGACACACCCAGATTTTCACAAGGGGAAATATTCTGCCAGGACCCACAATTATCCAAGTCATAATGACGAGAGATGTTATCAAAGAGAGACTGGGCCTAATTGCTCACTGATGTTTGGCTTTATGCTGCCATATATATGAGAAGTCCTTGTTTCAGGAGAAAGTAGCTTATTGTAAGTTATAAGTGCTGCACATGTTTCGGTGACTAGGTGTTTTCTTGTTTTTTCTGGTTAAGAGTATGAGACACATTGGACTACTGGCACAGCTGGTAATGTTAAATTACATTTACATACATACATGGAGCACTCAGTCAGAATTTCATCATTTTATATTTTTTGTGTATTCTGAGTATTCACTGAACACTAGGAGATGACATTATTCATTCATCATTCATCATTCATCATTCATCATTCATCATTCATTCATTATTCATGTATCCAAGAATAAAATCTGTTGTTTGTTGTCTGTTTGCCCAGACATACTTTTTTAATTTGACACATTCATTGCTACTTTTGTAGTGCTGATTGGTAGCCCAAAGTTTTTTGTTTTTTTTTGTTTTTGTTTTTTACATCAGTGACAGGGGGCAACATGTGTATGCAAGCTCTTTAACATCCATAACATTTTGGGAAATTTGTTATTTTCTTTCTTGTTGAAAGTTAGATGAAAACATTGATACTACTCTCAGGTCAGTATGGTAATTTAGTTAGCTTAGCTTAGCATAAAGACTGGCAAAAGAGGGAAACAGCTTGTCTACCAGTTTTAAAGCTCATACCTAATAGCTCGCTCTTTCCCCTGTTTCCAGTCTTTATTCAAAACTAAGCTATCTGGCCGCTTGCTGTAGCTTTCATATTTACTTTGCAGACATAAAAGTGATATCAATCTTCTCAACCAACTCTTGACAAGAAAGAAAATTGTATTGTCTGAAATGTCAAACCATTCCTTCACAACATCAAGTGTTTTTCAGTGAGTTTGAACACTATAATGCAAAGTTGACATGCAAGCTTCATGATTAACTTGCAAAACAAGCTGTGAGAAAAGCCAGTGGAGGTTAAAACATTTACTACCAGAGATTAAACATTCAGAAAAAGCTGTAATTTAGGTTAAGACTTTAATATGACAGAGGCTGGTGTCGAGTTATTTTTGAATTTCCAATGAACACAAACTTCACCACCATGCCATTGCATGACCATGTTGCTATGAGGAACACACAACAACAGTATAATGAAAATGCTCTTGGGGTTGGATATTATATTTATTGGTGCATGCTAAGGTTTAAACCTCAGGATTTTATTGAAAGAAACACACTGGGACCTCAACGAATGATGAATGGATGAGGGCATTCTGCCTGAGGAATGATATGTGTGACCACAGTTGGGTTTGACCACTGGTGGTACAGATGGTTTGGTGCACTGACTGGGTGGGTAAGAAAGGACTAATTCTTTCTCAGCCCGCAGAGACTTCTTTCACCTCCTAAAATACACCAAGACTGTTAAGACAGACCAAATTCTGAATTAAACTTTTCCCGTCTTTGCCTGTGGATCCTGAAATCTAAATCAAACATGGGAAAACAAGCCCATCTTCTCAAAGTACAAACAAAATAGACTTTAAATATCCAATTAGTAATTAATATCTCATCAAATATCAGATATAAAAGCTGACGCTTTGTTAAATCACATTCTGTGGCAAACAAGTCATACTTGGAGCAGGAATCCAAGTCAACCTATGATCAGTATCTTTACTGCTAATCTGGAATGTTTTCTCTTTTCATAGCTACATCGTAGTTAATGTCTTGGACGTCACAGAGATTCATAACACTGTTGGGCTTTGAATAGCAAAACATGAACAAGAGTCAAGTGTGTGTGTCTTTGCTAATGTTCTTGAATAACACCTCCTGGGACTAGTTTCAACAGTCTGCACTCTCCTTCCTTGTCTGCAAGCTTTAGTCTGTGAAATGTGGAGCACCATCTGTTGTTGAGCTTTTTGCTGAAAAACGTCTCTCTCTCGACATTCTCAAATTTAAAATCAAGAGAAGAAAGATACATTATCTCTATCCATTTGGAGGTGTTTCCCAGTTTAACAGTACCTCCTCTGGAAAGCATGACTGCAAACAATATCTCGTAACTGTTGCTTTGCCACTTGGTAGGGAACACTTTGCTTTGGAATAGGGCCAGTATGCTTTGTTGCATCCAAAAACTGTTTGTACTCCTCACATAGTGCTCCTTATAGCTCACAGTCCTCCTTGTTTGACTGCAAAAGTGCATGTCCTAAATACACTCATAAATCTTCTCATCTTTTGTTGCCAACAGTGTTTGCAGTGGTTGAGCAGTACAACGTTTTCATTGTTTCAGCTGCTGTTTGCACAATTTTTTTTTGTTCCTGCTGGCAGTTAGACTGATGGTCTGCATATCCGAGCGTCAAGCTTTGAAATGAACAATAGTCTTTAACGCTTTCTCTGAAAGAGATGAATGTGTGTAGACTTTGATTTACACTTTGTCTTTGATGACCGTCATTTACTTTCCCATTTACCAAGTAGCCTTCAAATTGCCCTAATTATGTGTAGTTCTTATGTAATAAGGGATTTTTGGCTGACACTCCGTGTTGGAAAGAGGTAAATGGACCCATTAAACATTTTGTTTAAATAAAAAGAATAATGACTCAATTTTCCTCAGCAGGATAGAACGACTCTTGTGTTGATTGGTCGTAAACCTGAATGTTCCAGAGGTTTGCCACTCGTCACTCTGGAGGTCATGCTCAGTCCAACATAAAGAGAACTGTGATGGGACAAAGTGACAAGGCTGGGAGCTATCGGGTTATGCGGTGTGACCCAGACTGGGATGCTAATTCCAGACACTCCTGCCTGCTGTCAGACTGTCTTGTTTAGACAGTCCGTTCGAAGCCAAATGGCTCCATGCAACAACCAGACAAGCGCTTCATATCAGTCTATTTTCTGCATTAGCTGCCATAAGCCAACAATCCAAGCCATTAGATGTGGGTTCGGACTTTGGTATTCTCAAACAAATCAAAATGAAAAATGAGCTTTGCCAAGGTAGACTTGTGCTGAGCTCCAAGTGCTGAGAGGGCCGGTAAAAAAACATTTAATATCACAATCCTTTAACTCTTTCCAATCTTCTTGCCACCCAAAGCCCAGAAAAACTAGGTCTGCAATGCATTAGCTGTAACTGACAAATATGCTTTATTTCATATGGAGATTTATAAAGAGAGTAGAAAATGAAAGCACCTCAGAGCCTGAATGAATCAGCAGTGGCCCATACGTTACTGTTCAGTGCTTCACATAAACACTGTTCTGGCCTCATCATGCAGAGTGGGCTATGAAGATGGTTTAAGATGTAAACAATAGGCGTATTCCTGCGGATCTGGGTCACTGCATGTATGTACGTGAATGTTTGGGGTGAACAGGATCATGAGATAAATCCAGAATTTCCCCGTCTAACTGAGAAGCTCCTGTTTCCCAGTGGGCAACTTAAAGAAACAACACAGTCACCACTGGGATGATAGCAAGTGGTGTTTCCCAAGCCCCCGCTACGGGAGGGTTTCTGGCAATTAAACAAAGCCATCTAACTGAGTTTCTCCACGTAACCCTCCCCTCGCCCACATGAAAACTTCAAAGTACACCTAGCATTGTGTTTGGCGGTGTAATTCATCGGGTTCTATTAACAACATGGTTTATGTACAGCATCAGCAGAATCTCAGAGATCAGAGAGTTTTTTGACTGTCCTCCAGTTGTCCTCCTTGGTCCTGGCTTGTATTTACACAGAGCTTGACTGTGTGCTGTTGTGCTCTAAAACTGCCTCCTCTCCAACTCATCTGGGTCAAGAGGTGTGGCTGGAACTGCCATTCATGCTGCCTGTCATTCCTTCATGAGCACTAATATTCATATGTTGTAATGCTGTGATGACTTCAAAGATATGTAGCAACTAAGTGCCAAGTAATACTTTTGCACATTGGAAGCTTTACAGTTGTTTCATGCACAGTGTGGAGTCTTGGCCATCACTGTGATTTGTAATTTCCTCAAATGTGATGGGGTTTAGTTCGAATTGCTTTCCATACATATGAAATGAATGATGATGATGAGTAAAAGTGGACAGTGCCAGTGGGTTTATGTCTTAGTTTGAGGCCTCTTTTGCTATCACATATAAACTGATGCTTTGATCAAGTGTTTGGACTGAGATTTATCAGTGTATAAGAATTGATTGTTTCTCTTTGAATGTAATTATTTAGCAAATGTTCTGAACATGAAATAATAGAAGTCATGTACCAAACCCAGTCAAGCCTGACACTGTATGCAAGTGAATCTCCCTAATGTAATCAAAGTGTCTGAAAAACATTATTTGGCCTCATGATTTCAACATCATGTGTGTTTCATAATACTTTTTCTTCGTCCATTGCTAATTATTTAACATTTTTGGAAATACACTTATTCACTTTATTTCCAGTTAGATCGGAAGATTGATGCTGATGGGACTTGTGAAAGTAAACCAAAGTAAACAATAAAGTTGCATGCTGTAAGGCCAAAACAATGAATAGTTGAGTAGTTGAGGACCCCTCAACTTACAAATTTTAAATATACAAGCTTTCAATTAACAGTAAACAACATCAGGAGCAAGAAAGGCACATTTAGTAAATTCAGTATATTTTCCCAATTATTTCTCAATTCTGTGTGCCATATGCTCATTCGGCAGCTCTCTTATCAGCAACATCAGTTAATTAAAACTGTATGGCCATCATTAGATACCCAAAACATATTTTCCATCTGTCTGTTCAAACAATGTTCCATGTAATCTTGGCAGAGGTCTTCAAAATTGCTTTCAAGTCACCCAGAACAAGGCAGGGGAATGGTTCCTCCTTGGCTCCCCGCGGCCTTGAAGTTCCTAATGATGACATCAAACGTTCAGACTGAGTCGTGCTTGCCCTTGCCGCCCCCCTGATCTGCAGGCAGGGAAGGCAGTGGTGAGCTCATGCTGGGAGGAAGTCACTTTGCCATTGAAAATCAGAGAGATAGAAAGAGCAACATCTGGCTGAGCCTAGGAAGTGAGGCAGGAAGCTTGCAGGCCAGGTGTCACTGTTAGTGATGGAAAAACCCAATCATAATTTGGACTGGACGCTGTTGCTGGGTTAGTCCTTACCACCTTGACACTAGCACCTCTTCCCTGTGTCACATCCTATCCTATCCCTGGACCCGCCCTGGAGATTAAGGATTCTGGGTCAGCAGCTGTCAGCTATAGGTGCTTTCGAAAAGATGAAGTGAGAGACCAAAGGTTTGTCTCCCTTTTCCCCTTCTCATTTTGTGTCCTGTTCCCCTTGGCAGCAGGAATGTGGTTTGTACGTGAATAAAGAGACATGAATAGGCTTGTACTACATCTAGCACAGCTGGGACAGGGCATGTGTGTTTATTTGCCCGATCATTGTTGTGTGTCTGTGGATCGACAGAGCTGATTCAACGTGTAAATATGTGATGTATGAATATGTGATATACCTCAATTACAGCCTAAATTACCTTTCAGGACCACAGGTGTGCTTTGTAGAACAGTTCTTCTAATCTGACCGGCAGGGTTCATCTTTGTCTTGCTCTGCTGACTGTCTGTCAGGGCAGATCAGTGGGATCCAGATGTTTTTTGCAGAGTTGAATCCCTGCACTCCTAAAGCTTTCTTAGACCCCCAGAGCCAAGGTAGGCCCGTCTGCCTGTCTGTCTGAGAGGCACGCGCCTCCCCCAGGTTGCTCACATGAGCTCGGCTTCCAGGTCGTGCAACACAGACCCAGTAATTGACCCAAATCAAATGCTCACCGGTGAAAAACTTGCCTCTTGCAGCCCTGGTCGAGCTTTGTTCTTCGACCCCAGTTTTAATACTTCCTCCAGCCCGGTGTAACACTCAGGATGTTGCTCCCTGGTTGGCCACAGTCAGACAGAACAGGGAGTTCATAATCTAGTCAAGCAGACACAATGGGTGATGGAAAGGTTTTGTAGTCCTGATGGAAAGATCTAATGTGTTTAATCACACACTTTTCTCTGAGGCAAACGGACCAGCCACACACACACACAAAGTGGGCCCTGTGAGTCTCATTCCCTTACTTTATTTTCTGTTAATCAGTGATGTGAGTGCGAAATTTCTTTAATGTCAAACAGAATCTTTCATTAATTAGTGAGGTTCATGGCTCTCTGACTTACGGCAGATGTTAGTTTTGAAACCCTATGTGTTTAAAGAATGATATGGTATTATTAATTTCATTAAAACAAAATTATTTCCAAATCATTGTGGCTCATCTATAAAATCAATTAAGCAAAGCTATGACCTAAGACAGCATGTTTTTCTCTTAGGAACATTATTTTCTGTTGCACACACTGACCATGCTTAAATGGATTTCACGGTGATGCACATTCATTGCTGATGGGTGTATCTTTGACAGTGTATGTATGTGTGGGACATTAGCTTTTGTCTGAGGTCATATGTTTATGGTCTTGTGATGATGTGATTGACAGGACCCAAGTGAGACGGGGACCCCCTGACTCCTCCCCTCAGCAGACTGGGACCTCCCGCACTGTGAAACGTTATCCATCATCCTCTGGGCCTATTACTTCCAATGCTCTACCCAGTGGCAACGGTTACGCTAACGGCCGCGGCAATGAGCACAGGAACTGGCACGGACACAGAAATGGACATAGCAGTGTGCACTCCTTTAACACTCACAGGCCTACCAGTGACAGCCAGCTACAGGGACAGTTCAACAATGCATTATTGCCAGCAGGTAAGAACAAAGAACTAAACGTATCTATTGCACACTGTGAAATGAATATCATAAATCTTGGATGGTCTCTGTTCTCACTTTACATGCATATTTAACATTTCCACTCTCCCTAGCCACGTCAAAACAAACACGACTCATTCTGGCTCCAGGCTACGATACATACATACACATCCAGTGGTGTCATCGTTAAATGGAACATTAGCCACAAGAAAAAAAGTTGGCAGCTTCCCAGGCTGCACTTCCCTTCTCCCACTGTCCACCAGCCCCACCCCCTCTGTGGTCTATATCACACCAGACAGACAGAAGTTTGATATCAAAATTGCATACAGTGTCTGAGCATGTGTATATATGTGTGTGTGTGTGTGTGTGTGTGTGTGTGTGTGTGTGTGTGTGTGTGTGTTCTTGTGTGTTTGCATAGTTACATGCTTTGATATCTTTGGGAATCTGCACTGTCACCTCTCTGACATGACAGGCACTGAACTCTGGCGCCTTTACCCACAACAAAAAGAAATGTGATCTTGTCTTTCCTAATTTTTATTCTCCCTCCACTACTTCATCCTCCTCTGATCCACTATCCAGCATACACAGCTGTGTGCTGTTCAAGCTTCTCTTGTTTTTTAGCCCTGTACCACAGCAACGGCTGTTGAACAGCTTCCCACCATTACACAACGTTCACTTGCACTCACGCTCTCTTTGTCTCCCTCACACATACACACATCCAAAACACCTTCTCCCAAAGATAAAGGGCTTGGAGTCTAGCCCGATACCTAATAGTATTCTCTCCCCCATTTGCTGGCCTGTGGCACATCGCTCATTCAGCTGCAGCGTGCCACTGGCCAGCCGTCAGCACACACCCTCGCACACTTATAAACCTCCCTTTGCCCAGACGGGGAGTGTGTCACAGTGAGGCTGACAGAGGAAGGATGCAGCTCGTCTCCAGCCTGTCTCTGCTGCTGCTCCTTCTCATGCAGGTGTGTGTGTGTTTTCCAGGGGCGAACCTCACAGCCAACCTGGACCGCATCAAGATCGTCTTCACTCCCATGCTGTGCCGCAGGGTGTGCAGCGGCGGGCGCTGCTACAACAGCTGTGAGAAGGGAGACATCACCACAGTCTACAGTGAGACCTCGCAGCAGCAGCAGCAGCAGCAGCAGCAGCAGCATCAGCAGCCAAAGAACCAGGGCTTCCGACTCTGTGAGTGTCGACTGTGGGCCCTCTGATTATCATTAACCCTTTATCTTTCTTGTCTGCTTGTCATCCTCTCTGCTTCTTCTTCTTCTTCTTCTTCTACTTCTTCTTCCTTTTTACTTCCCTCCTCTCTCACTATCTCTCTTGCTTACCTTCTGATTCTCAGACACTTCCCCTGTGTCTCCATCCTTCCTTCTCATTCCTCTTTTTATGGGGTGAGATTGACAAAATGGGCTCCCAGTAGCACGCTGTCTGCTCTGAATACCAAGCTCAGAGAGGAGGCAGAGTGGTGGAGATGAAAGCTGAGGGCTACATTAAAAAGTCTCACTGTCACCGAGAAAGATAGACTGGGAAAGCGGGAGAGACGAGGGGTAGACCAGATTAAAAGCGGGCTCTTTAAAAGGGGGCTAATCTCTCCTCGCACACACACACACACACACACACACACACACGTGGAGCTTGTGGTCCCACGCTCCCAACACTTAGCCCCATCTCTTTGCGGTTTACACCTCGCGCTTGGCCCCGCCGTTAACCATTTAACGTGCTCCCTGGGAGAGCAGGAATGAATGAAAGAGGAGAGGGAGAGGCAGAAAGAGAGAAAGAGTAGCAGCATGAACAGGATTTTATAGGGATTACATTAAACCTTCCATTTATCCAGGGGGCTTTGCTCCAAATTCACACAAGAGTGTCCATGGGAAGGGAGAGGGCGGTCAATGCCAAGGGGAGGGTCGCACCCCTGCATGTTTCTTAGTTTTCTCATCAGTTTTAAGGATCTAGCTAAGGCTCAGAGTAATTACTACTTGTGGATTAGAGGGTGCACATACCACACACATACACATACGAGTCCTCTCCAGTCACAGCTCCCATGAACACAAACAGTCATACAAATATGCAATCTTCACCTAAGTGCACCAGGCTCTTTGGGGAGGACCTAGCTGACTTATGAATATATAAACATGTTGATGTTGCAGATTTATGTGCCCATTAATGGGGCTTTGGAACATGGTGTAGATATTCCAAACACTTCAGCGTCCTGGCAGAGGCCTTCTGTAAGATTACATTCCTGGCACCTCCACTTCTTCCTGAGCAGCGGTTTGTTTTCATGTCCCATTTTTGATTCTCTAGAAGTCTCCCTTCATTATGTAAAAGTGTGTGTTAAAGAGTGTGTTAAAAAGATATTGCTTTCCATTTAGGCTTGCATCCTGTTATTGCTTGGGTGTGCTGCGTGTTTGTCGAGGAATGTCAAGTGGACAGCAAACAGTTATCTCATGCTGTTGTTATGTTCCTTAGACAGTGCAGTAAAATCTGGCTGGATAATTACAACAGGCTCCCTTGATACGCACCCTGTGTACAACACTTACTTTAAAGCCTAATATTAGATTGGGTAGAAGTCTGTTTATTGAGTGAGAAGTGTGTACGTATGTGTGTGTGTGGGGGTGTGTGTGTTTGGTTATTAGAGGTTGTTAAATGGACAGACTGATAGGCTGACAGGGAGCGTGGTGTGCATTCGACAGTAGGTTGTTGTCTAAGAATAGTTCCTGCCCCATGGCGCGGTGGGACTGGCCTGACACAGACCAGTGCAGACCTGCATCCCACATTGAGAGGATTTAATAGTCTCCTTAAACTGATAATTTAGCCAGCATGTCTAATCACAGGAGGCCTTCCTGTGTGTGTGGACACCAATGTCTGTCTTTCCCCATGTTTTTTTTCTTGCATTGTTGTCTCTTTTCTGTTTTCAATCTATTCTGTTAACATTCTCCTCTCCTAGTCCCTTTCATTCCCTATCTGATACTTTTCTATTCTTTTTCCATCCCTCCCTCTCTTCCTCCTCCAGTCTCACTGTTGTTAATGCTGTGTGACAGGGAGCTCATTCCCTACATGCCATCGAGACTGTCCAGCAGCTCTCTGCTCCCAGTTTTCACCCTGTTAGTGTGTTACTGTTTGTCTCTACGAGACAGAGACGATGCAACTCACAGCATGTTTCCATCACTAGATTCTTCTTTCATCTCATAGTATGTGGGCCATCTGTATCTCCTATCTGCCTTGTAAAGCAGTCCACATATTTGCGGTGTGTGGTACAGCTGAGCCGGAAAAGTGCAGTGCTTCACGTTTTCATCCTTTGTGCCCCAAAATTATTCTTTTCTTATTCGTCACGGTTGTGTAGATTTTTTTTTTATTTGATAGTCTTTGATGTTTTGAGTTAGTTGAGGTCAGGTCAGAGCAAATCTGTAGATGGGAGCAGACCCAGGTATGTAGGTTGCAGGTTGCTGGGCTGGCACCCATCCCTTATGCCAAAAGATAAGGCCAGTGAAAAGGCTGTGAAAGCAGTACTGTCAAACACCATCTGGCCAGTACTGGCCTTTCCTCTCTTTCTCTCCCCACAGTAAATTGCAACTATAAATCAAACTGTAGACTGAGCACGTTTTGGGATTCAATTTATTTACACGGTTAACAGCCAGTTGCCCTCCTTTGAAGCTTTGATAGTTCGGGAAATTCTCATTTTTTTCTTCAGCTGCCATCCAAGCACTTCTTATTTTCTCCAGATTATTACAGGATGAATCATCACTCATCGTCACGCACAGGAGTCTGTAATGATGTGAGGCAAAACATACCAATGAAGGAGGTACAACATGAAGGGCAGTGCCTACCCTTAGGATAAAGTTGAAACCTTATAAACGTCATGTGGAATGAGGTGTCTGGTAATAACAAAGTAGAGAACAGCATGACCATTGCTAACCGTTTGCAAACAAAGCCTGTCCACATGAAGCCTTAACACATGCCCTTCCTATTAGGACTACCCCTTCTGTTTCTTATTACCGTATCTGTGTGTACGAGGAAGCATAAATCTGTGCAATTAAATGTGGCGTGCTGTGTACGCTAATGAATCTCTTGCTCATAATAACCTCTTCATCATTTTCTCTTGACCTCTGACACTGCTGTGTTTCTCTCTTCTTCCTCTCTGCAGTCTTCTGCCAGATACCCTGTCTTAATGGAGGCCGCTGCATCGGCAGGGACCTGTGCTGGTGTCCATCTAACTCAACAGGGAAGTTTTGCCACCTGCCAGCACCGCCTCCCGCCAGACCCACCCCTCACAGCCACAGGAATGCCAGCCACCAGGGACCAAAATCTCCCTTTCACTCCATGTACACTCTACCTCTGTCCAATCAACAAGGTAATCCAACAGGCCTGGTCACAAGTAAAACGGCAACATTCATGTGCGCATTCTTCACAAAATATGTGGTTCGGTAATCTTGGTGACGTAGTGACTGCTTGAGGGACAGTTGGCTAGCTGCGCAGCCATTAACGTGTCTCAATATCGATTTTTTCTGTACTGTGCTGTTTACAACTCCCCTGATATTTTGTTCAGGGGATTTTCCATATTGTACAGGGACAAAGAAGTTTTCTACTGTCAGTTAGCAAACAAACTTTAACTGACAAGTTAGCAAGTTTGTTTCTTGTCGACTCCAGCTTGGCTGTCGTCTCATAACTGTAAGCCATTGCTCTTTTGTAGAGTAGTTTATCCTTTACCCGAGGAGGTTAAATAGGCAGTGAGCAACACAGTTAATACGTGACAATAGCTTGTTCCATTGTGGATTATCTGGCTCTGGTGTGACAGGGCCTTTATTCTTTGTTTCACTTCTCCTTATGATCGCAGTTCATCTTTTTTAAGTGCACACAAGTCTACTCCCTGATTTTTAACACTGTTTATCATGTAGTGCTCTGCCTTTGCTGGCCAGAAGTGGAGGTCAGAGTCTATTTTGAGCAGGATAAGTAATGGATGACTCAGTGGAAATCCTCATATTGTTCGCACAATGCTGCTTTTATCAAACAGAAGTGGGTATTAGAAACAGAGCAAGGAAACATCATGAACTTATAAGTAAGAATATAAAAGAGTAAGATTTGCTCACTTCCCATCTCTTTCGCTGATACCATTATTTATTTCCTCACTGTGTCTAACAGTAAATAGAAGCAGAAGCTTTATCTTAGATAATTTAGATGCGCTCAGCAATCTTACAGCCTCCATTTTGAATTAAATTACATGAATAATCATAATTAAATGAAGAGTCCAATGTCTGTATTGTGATGTCACAACAAAGACATGTTTCTTACTCTCCATATGCTTTATATATGGACGTAGGCAGTTTCATGTCCAGTCCTTTTGATAAGGTCTACTTCTTCTCCTTGGACTCTCCCTGCCAACTATCTGTGGGACTTTGATTTATGAGAGTGGGTCAGGATGCTGGGAAAAAACCCTGGCACTCCCTGAAGATAGATGCTTCCTCTCTGTCACAAGGACAAAAGAGCTCATTCTCCATATTGCAACATCTTCTCAACTCCTCAACAAATCTGTTTTTGGTCTTTAAGATGATTTGATTTAAACCAGAGAATCCAAAACTTTTGTGTTGTTGTTGTTTTGTAGTATCTTAATTACGTCTTCACTGCTGGGAATTTCCCATGTACTGTAGATCTCATAACTTGGTGATGAAGCAAGCTAAGTCTATCTTAAACAAGTTTATGCAGGAATTTTAGTTCCTGCATAAATGCTTCCACTTACACTATTCAAATTTTGAACTAGACCATGAACTATCCACTATATTGTATAAACTGTGGGTCTTTCCTTCTCCAGTTTCTCTCCACCCATCCTTGGTGAACGTCCACATTCAGCACCCTCCAGAGGCCGAAGTCCACGTCCATCAAGTAGCTCGGGTCCAGCCTGGGCAGAGACCGGCCACCACAGAGGGGGCTCACTCTGTCCAGCAGCGCTCCCAGCCTGGGAATGGACATGAACACACCAATGAGCACAATGGCAGACACCCACACAACAATGGCAATGGTAATGGTAATGGCTACACCAGACCACACCACCATCAGAACGGACATGTGGGAAGGTGCTTTCAGGAAACAGTCGATGGACAGGTATTGTGTAAAGTCATTAAAACACACTATGTACACTGTCATCACTAGTTGATGTAAGCCACCTGTCGTATCCTGGCTCATCAGAAATGTTGAGACCACTGGAAGAAAGTGTTGTTTTACCACAAGTACCATTACGTTCTCATCCCATTACCTTCTCTCATACTTGCTGTTGCAAATAAGAAGTGGGCCTTTATGTCATGTCCAGGATTTATGTGCTCTGACCATACTGGTCCTCTCATGTTCCCCCAACATAGGTATGTTACGAGTTAGAATGTGTTCAGAAGACACAAAGGTTAAGCTTTAAATGTAGCCCATGTGCTCCTCTTTGTGGCTCAAAGGGGAAGACTTTCATGGTCTGTATGGTACCATACATACAGTATGGCACGCACTGCGGATTTATTGTACTTTGCATGGTCAGGAGAATGTATATATGTCACAACAGACATGTATCAAAGGGGAAAAAAGTTAAGTGATATTGCATGAGCTTGACTAATCTAAGGCTTAATACTATTTGCTTAGCTGTGATTAAGCGTTATATTTGACTCTTAGCCTTTTGCAGGTTTGCAGTTGCGACAACACAATGATCTGCAGCAGAGTTGTTTTTGACAGCATTATTCCATGAACAAGTTTGTTTGTGCTGAACTGCAGCTTCCATTTTGTCTACTCTGGTTTCATAGAGAGCTTGAAATTAAACCTTCCAGTCAGGGATTTTTCAGAACCCCAATAGAACTGCCCCAGAAAAGAAGCATACAAAAGCTTTAGCCTGTAGTTTTCCCTCGTCTCTGCCAGTGTGGTGTTCTCCAGAAGAATGTCCTCTCTGTTGCCTTCAGTTTCATAAATCTCTATTGGCCAAAAATCCTATAAGTAAGGTCTGATAGGAATCTCTCCACAATTAGCCAAGTGACTTAATGAGGCATGCCAGGAGGTTCATAGTTGTTCTTGAGACTTAGTGTTTATGTCCTCCTCCAAATAACCAGTCTCAGATGTGTCTGGTTCACTCTGTCCTTCCAGATAGGTATACGCACACACTCGATGACAAACACACTTACAAATTCTACCCTTGCCAATGGACAGACATTATTTTGCACGCAAACAAGCATGCATGCACAAACATGTAACACTCGTTTCTTAGATTTAATACAGATGTGTGTTGTTATAGTGTGGCAAGCCTCTGCCAGGCCTAACCAAACAGGATGATTGCTGTGGAAGTGTGGGTGCCTCCTGGGGTCTAAACAAGTGCCAAAAGTGTCCAACCAAACCAGGTAAGCCCTCCTGACTGAAGCCATCACATCTGAGCAATTTTTTGTTCCGCTCTGTTCCATTACATACTTAAATCTAATCTATTTCTAATCCGGTCTAATTCTGTTGGTATGATTTTCTGTTATGCTATTGGTATGTTGATCTCTTGGTATCCTCGCACTGTTATTCACAGTGGTTAAAAACAGCAACACGCAGCTGGGCTCTTCTTTCATGGTGCTGTATAATAAGGTATTCAGTCTGTTATATGCCTTAGAAGAAGTTGTTTATGCTTAGTAGATTTTTACAGCTTTTATCACAGGCCTAAACAATACTGAGTTGATTACCAAATGGCAGTCTTCATTAGATTTGTAAACTCCTCTGAGGTGGCTACGTGATTCGCAGACTCACCCAAATGAAGCTGTTTTCGCTTCCATAAAACCAAAACCGGGAAGCAAATGAAAACACATTTAGCATGAAGATGAGAGCCTGGCAGGAGTGCCACCCACCCTGCGGCCAGATCGAGCCAACATAGCCTTGAAAGAGTGAGGAAATGAACAGTTCAGCTGCTTCCCAACCAGAGCTGCGGTAGGTTTGAGAAACAGCAGCAGGGTGGTTGTTCACCAGCAGGCAGGGTGGGTGGTGGCAGCCTTCACTATAGGTGAAGACTCATTTGGCCTGACAGCTCTGTGTGTTATTTGGAGGCCTCACAGGAAGCAGTTTTGGTGGCACATGGGGACACTCAGTTATTTCCCAGCACTCTTACACACAATCATATTACGGCCATGCCCACACATGTCAACTGGCCTGTCAAAGTGCTCATACCCTGTTTAATGTCTGACTGGACCTTAATCAGAAGCAGACATCATCCCTCTCTGTATCCTCCATCTATCGTAGATGCCGATCCAGTCTTTTCTCTCCCACTTTCTATCTCCCTCAGCATGCCAGATTCCTACTCTTCCTAAGTCCCCGACACGATCTCTTTTGGCTCCCAGATGTTTTCCTTTGCTCCCTCCTTTGAAGTTTGGGGGAGAAAAAGAGTGCATACCCGATTCGCTCATTTTTGTGGATGTTTTGGGGGGCAGCATACTGTAGGCCGAGGTCCCAGGTCACACGCAGGCAGGGAAAAGAAACAATGAAGGAGAGGAAAATTAAGTCAAAATGAAGTCATGTACTATGTCCCAGAAGTATTGGAGGGAGCTTTAATAAAAGAAATGCTTTGAATTCCTCTTGAGTGTTATTGTTCTCAGTTTAGACACTTGGCTGGATCTTTCAGCTACATTCCCCCCCTTACTGGCCGGGACGTATGCTTTCTTACGTGTTTGACAGGAATGATATACAACCTGGAGACAACAGCCCCTGAAAAATGATGCTGTTCTTTTTATTTCATAGTGAATGGGTCAGTTGTCGGTTTGCAATGTAGGGAAAAAGTCATATAGCTTTATAAGAGTCTCCTGTGTCTCTTGTTGAGTATGTGATAATGATGTCATTAAAGCCCAGTTTGTATTCAGGGGTGTAACACTACCATTGGTCAGTTTATAGCTGGTTACAAAATGCACTGTTGACTGAGAGGAAGCATTGCTACTTAATTTATTTTATTACATTTATACATGATGTCAACATGACCACACTTTAATGGATACAGTTCTGCTGCAGTCAGGACTGTTAATAAGTCTATGCTTCCTGGATTTACTTCAGATCTCTATTATGCTAGTATATTTGCATCAGCCTCACTCGAAATAACGAATGGTACAGTATCAATTGAAATAGACTCATAATATATTTTCTCTGTCTGGATGTGTCTTTTTGCGAATGTCTGTGAATGTATATGCATTTGAGCACAGCTGACGACATTATATAGCGGAGTATTATTTAATATTATACGCCAAGGACTTTATGTCACTGTTGTGGCAATAAGGGAGGAGATTATGTGTGTATAATGTGGGTGTCTGTGTGTGTGTATGTAAGGGAGGGCTGACGTTATGGAGGCATAAATGCCAGCATTTCCCATCTCAGTGGGAGCCGAAGCCTTCAGGAGCCAGTGCCTTTAAAAAGTCACATGCTGAGGATTCCTAGGTCTTAATGAGATCCAGATCAACCAGAACAGGCTGTAGTCAACGCCACCCCTCGGGTTCTGATGAGGAGGTAGAGTGGATAAGAGACCTGCACTGAAACTTTGTTTGAATTTCAAACTGGTTCAATCTATGATTCCTGATGATCATTCCTGATAGAGACAGTCATTAAAATTGTTCTCAAATATGAGAGCTAACCAATAACTTGTTGAATGAAGTGAGAATGAGACTAGGTGAGTGGGGCAGTCCCATAAGAACCACATGGCAGCAACTGAGAGTGCTTCTGGGTTAGCTCGCTGAAAGAGAGTCTGACATTGAGCAGTGGCTCTCACTCGTTCAACAGAGAGCAGACTGCTCTCATGGATGTTCTCCATGCTGAGCAAGTAGCTAGCTTTCGTGGGTACAAAAACACCAGCAGAGCTGATGCGGAATGGTGGGCGCTGCCTGGTCAGGTCTGTGGGAGCTGACCAATCAGAGCAGACTGTTTTTACGAGAAATACGTAATTATGCAGAATCAAATAGCACTCTGCTAGCCGTTTCATGGTAACTTTAAGGATACATATCTATCAGGAAAATCATTGAAGGTTCCCTAAACCAACTGAAGCTGTGCCCCTAGTTTGACCCATACTGTAGTGTTGGCATGATGCTGCTGGCAGCCACTCCCTCACTGTGAGTTTCACAGCTAATGGAATTCCACAAGCCGTTTGTCTCCCCATCTGTCATTGCTGGGCAGCTTCCCTCTCTGTGACTCTCCCCGCCTGCGATGCTGGGAGGCTTCCCAGGGAGCCAGATCTGATGTCCCCAGGGCCTAAAGTAACTACCACACCCACAGGAGCCTTGGCTTCTTCCTGTAACTCTGCCTCCCTGGGTCATCGAGGTCATCATGATGTCACTGCCCTAGCTCTAGTCTTTTTCTATCTGTGGGTGTTGTCTGCCTGTTTCACCCCCACCCCCCCACCTCTCTGTCTCTCTGTAATGAGGACACTATTCTTCATGAGGTTTAGATCAATAAAGTCAGATGAGGCAAATAAGGAGGGGGCCCACAGAGCTCCTTGACTTCCAAATCTTCCCACATGAACTCATCCCTTCCAAATCTCCAAATCTATTCCCCAGACATTTAATCTGACATCCATCGAGGGGCCAAAGCCTGCACATATTGCTTTTTATTAGCGCTGATCAAACATGAACACTTGTTAATGACCAACAAAAACCAGAGACGCAGTGACTTTGCCTCAGAAATAGGCAAGAGAACAGATGTATTGGAACAGCTCCACAGCAGCTTCTCGTGGTGATTAGATAGAGACGTCACATATCTTTGACAGCATTTGATTCATTGATGTTGACTTTGTGTTATCCCTTCACAACTAGAATGATGGAATCTATTAGCCGGGCAGCAGTGTAGCTAATCAGAGCTGAACAGACCTAACCACTACGTGAAATAAATCCCAGTTGGAGGCAGATGGATATGAAGTTTGTGTTGCATTTCTTAATTGGATACAAGCTAAGCTAAGCACATTTTTATTGGGAATGTACCGTGGCATGCCTTCTTTTGGAACTAGCCCAGGTGGTTAATATTCCACAGTGATTTGGAGATTATAAAGGAATGTGGGCCTGTTTTGAATGTGTGTTTGATGCGGGTTACATTTCTATCAGCATCTTTGAGAAGGGCGTTAAGCACAATTGTCAAACTACAAACAGAGATGTAAAAATGCATACTTTCGTGAATAGAAACAATGAAAAGTATGTTTTGAGTAAAGATTTAATGTCGCAGAAAAATGAAATAATTTCTTCATCAAAGTCTTTTTGTTGCTGCTTCACATGTGCCGTGGGGTGGTAGTGTTGAAGCAATATGATACAGTTAAGACTGTTAATGATTGAGCAAATCTCTTGTAGCTTGTACATTTGTTTTGTGTCCATGTCTGTATCAGCAGGAGGATGTTGATATTATTCCAATGTGTCCTAAGTGATTAGCCTTTGCTTCACTAGTATGGACACATTATTTACATGGCATGTGATATGGACCGTGCCAGAATGGCAAATATGGCGCGTGCCAAGGAGACATTCTGTTTTGAAAGCAAATGACTTCTCTTTAAGCTGTTTGCTTCAATCAAGCATTGGCTCAAAGGCCAAGAAGAGATGGCTTTACCATCTTAGAGACTCAAAAGACCTGAAGCCCTCCATGGTGATTAAAGAGCTCTCTTTGCTCCTGGTTTTCTGTAGGAGGCACCAGTTTGTCCTGTGGCGGCATGTCAGAAAATAAATAGCTGGAAAGGGTCCTTGGCTTTGGTGTGGGTTGTTTTCCTATAGAGTGGCCTCAAATGGAGTGGAAAGGAGGACTGTCTCCTGTTCACGTCCTGTGGATGGGATCAGTCCCTCCCTCCTTTTCCCCCATGCGTTCTCAGCTTTTCCAATCGGTTAAGGAGAGAAGTCCAACACGGAGGTTGCCTCCCAGGCAGCTCCCTGGGGAAACTGGTGAAGGGCTCTGAGCCCTGTGATTGATGGACCAGACCTTTCAATCGCCAAGAACAGCCCCCAGGCCGGGTGGTCTGCAGACTGATTGTACCAAATGAGCAATTAAAGATTTCTGTACTGCTAAGGAACCCATCTGACTATAAACTCTCTCGTTCTCACCCTCCTGTCTCCTTCTCTCTTTTCTATCTCTCCTATTTAGCATAAGCTGTCTTTTCATTTGAATACCCTCAGCAGCGCCCTGCGTGGAGCAAATTTTACTTTCATGTTGAAAAGAGACTAAAGGGATTTATTCATTTCTTTTAGTACTGCCCCACTAATCGAGAACCTCCAAGGAATTCGAATTACACTTTCAGGTCAGGGAATACAAGCAAACATTATTGAACAGTTGCCAGTGGAATGCAAAAACAATTGAATGGAGATGGACAATAAATTAGTAAGGGGTGACAAAGTCTTTTGTTGAACAGGGCTAAATGGATAGACAACAATTGGAAGTTTCTGTCTGTACCCTCAGTGGACACAGACCAGTCTGCGTCTACAGTCTTTGTAACCAAGGGTGACACTAATGATGCGAAGCTTGAGTTCACTGTTGCAAGCCACTGCCTGTGTAACTCCGCTTTCTACACAAATGACAAGCATGAGAACGGAAACATCATTAAACCCTATGAGGATAACGTAATTCTCAGCTTTTTGTACAATAATGAATGATTACATGGCCATGTGATTTTTAGTCCTGGTCCTTACTTGAGGTGAATGTTCAGGAGACATGGTTCTGATTTGCTGTCACAGTAGCCTACGACAAGTCACTTAACAGTGATTTATCAAGCCTTGCTTCAAAATTTCTAAATTCATTTATTAAAGAGCCAAGACTCTCTGTATTTTACAATAAAGGCACTCTACAGAAGGCAACCAGTATTTAGGAGGGGTGTTGTCAACTTCTAAGTTTCAGCAGCTGGTTTTTAGACCTTACTTCAAACAAATTGCCTGTAGGGAACAAAGATCCACTGAACTCTGATAACAAGCATTTTTGATCCAGGATGCACATGAGGAAGTGTTGAGTACAATCTGCCAGATTAGATCCTATGTGCAACATCTCAATCTTTTCTCTCGAGCCATCTTAAGACACGCCGAGTTTTGAAATGAACTGTCTCTCAGATTCATGTTGAAGTTGTTACTGACTGCAGAGGTCCTCACCTCCCTGCTAATAAGCTTTATTGAGACACCCGGACCTCCCCTACTGGGCTTCCCTTGGCATGTGCGCCCTGCTGTCACTCAGGCCAGACTTTCCCTGATCCCATCGCTGCAGGAGGGCGTGCCCGACGCCCTACCACAACAGCTCATTACTCAGAAACTTTGAAAGGGGGATTAGGAGGGTGCGGAGGAAGATGAGGAGGTGGGCAGACAGGAACAGCGGCGTCGCTTTGACACAGTTCCCCTCTTTTCCCGTTGCCCCTTCATGCTGACCCACTTCTGCTTTGTCAACTCTCAGGTACATTGACCCTGCCTGGTCCACTGGGTCACAGCAGGACCAAAACATAACTCAGCTTCTAGGACTGCGTTCCCAGAAAGCCTCCATGTGGCACACATTCCAGTCACTCCTGGGAAAATGACACAAAACTCATAAGTGATGGCTGGGTTTTGTATTGACGGTATCCTGTACATATTGAAGGCTGACAAAGTCTTGCTTTTTGGCCACTTGATTGGGAACCTCAACCTATACAGTACCTAATTCTTTCCAGTCACCAACTTAGAAAATTAATGACTGAGCTTGTGAAACGTGAAAAGTGTGGAGTAACACTGGAGATTCCTTGTATGTGTTTGCAATTTCTTCTAATGTCTGGTGGTATAGGTGGCTGAAGAGGACAGATGAGTTAAAGAGATTTTGTCTGGTCCTGCTTGAAGGCATACTGATTGCCATTTACATCAAATCAGAGCTCCCTTTCAATCATCCACAGGTTTTCTGTAGCTTTGGTCACAAACACGGTGAATCTTTTCTCCCGTTCCCAGAGCACTCTGCCAGGGGAAGAGATGAATTTTCTCTGCTGGCAAGGCTGTGAACGTACTTACTTGCGTGCGTCACCACTGTTTTCAACCCTGTGTCGCTGTGGCAGCAAGTTCATAGCAATGCGGTACTTTTACTTTTTCTGGCCATGGTGTAAATTCAAAGATCATCATCACTGTCATTTGTTCTTGTTTTCTGTGAGTGCGAAATCTTGGATACCATGATTTCTTTCTACGTTTACTCTCGTTGGATGATGATACGAGGAAAAATGAATGCAAAGGTGTATTGTATATGCATAGTTTTAAAACATCCTGTTTTGCATTTTGGAAAAGTAAAATTCATGTTCATGACTTTGAAAAGCCTGCATGAGTTGAGACACTATGTTGTATATATGCCATTAAACACTTTTTTAAATCCTGGAAGAAACAACATTTTTCCAGTGTGTTTATGTTCTAAAAATGCAAAAACAGAATCATGGCTATCTAATTAGCAAGGTTAAACTGTGTGATTTACTGTAAATTGAGTAGACTATAACAGTGAGTAACAGTTCCGTCGTGCTAATAAGTATGTCGTTATTCTTAGAGCTTTCCTCACCCAAACACACCCAAAATTCCCTCCAAAATCATGGGGTGGATCTTTTCCTTTCAACACGATATGAAGCAAAATTCTTCAACTCAGTTTATGTCATGGAAAGATCTGCTCCTAATAATCACCCTGTCTCTATTTACAAACCTATAGAATATTTCACACACCAGGTCTTTCTCACTGTCAAACACATAGACACAAACAGAGACTTTCTCTTTGCCTTGTGATAGTCACATTGACCTCTCTGTACATTTAATGTAGCATGCTGGGGCTTGACGGGGTGCCGAATGAATAATGAGATAATGTTTTCAAGCCTCTGTCACTATGGCCGCACTGGGACATTAACAGACACACTGTGTTATTTACTGCTGCACTTTTGTGAACCTCCAATGTACACACCTGAAGCGCACACCATATGATTTTTATTGCTTTGGCAAAACAAGCAGAAAGAAATTTCGGAGCAATCACCATCCTGTGAGCTGTCCATTAATTGTCATTCCTAGTGTGCACAGTTAAAGTATTAGTCTCTTGTTTAAGTAGATCTCGCACTGTGGTTGATGACAAAGGTCAGGGCTGTCATGTAGGCTTCCTCAACATATTTATGATGCAAGCATTTCCTTCGTCAGTCCCTAGTGTTTGAGGAGAGTTATAGGTAATATGATTATAAATGACGTCGAGTGTTATCGTTACATTCTGCTGGATGGCAGTGCTGTCTTATAAATGTGGTTGATGGGGATCCATTTCCATACACTCACTCTAGAGTCCCACGAGGCCCAGCTGTGGGTCCCCTCATTTTTCCTCTTGCCAAGATGCTCACATCTGTAAGTTATATGGTCCCCTCCTAAAGCTGCTCTCCTCTTCTCCCTCTGCTATGAATGCAATGCTTTGTGACAGAAAGGCACGGCACTGTAAGATCATTTCGCTCTTCTGAAGCTGTGCTTTCTCTTTCTATTTGCAGCATATGCAGTAATTGCAAACGGACAAGTGGAATGTCCAAAAGGTTTTAAAAGGATGAATCTCACACACTGTCAAGGTAAGCCATAAAATATGTTGAAGAATGTGTATGTGGTTCAGTGTTTTATGAATGTTATCTTATGATTTAACCCACTGCATATTTTTACAGGTAGTTTACCAAAAACAAAAACATATATTATATTAGATATAATGGTATAAAAGCTTACTGTCCATATGTTTCCATGCTCACATGGACCCCTGGGGACCTCTATAAAAGTATTCATTGCTGTACGTCTGGCCCCTTTGGGAACCAGGTCAAGACTACAATTAGCCTTGGTCCAGGGTCAGAGTTCAGCAGCCAATAAGCACCTGGGGCTGCTGTTTTAATTGGTCTTTGGGGTTCTGAGTGGAGACTGGTACGGCAGGCTGCGATTATGGTAAATGTGGCTCTCTATTTGGAAGGGAGCCTTAGTTGTAGATCTGTTTGTTGCTCAGCCTCCCTAAACTGCCAGCTCACCCAACCACCTGTATGTAAAAACAAAGGTAGGTCGTTCCTGAACGTACCCTGTATTTTCCACTATTCCAGCATCCCAGAGCTGTCTGGTTGTCTGCTGGCTTTCAGTTCATGAACCAGTAACCACCCACAGTGTCAACTCTGTAGATAGTCTGCCACTAGGGAGGTCAGACTATTTATATTTGTTACTTGTGTTAGTATACATCACTGGAATTAGCTGACATGAACAAATAAACTTTGGCTGAAAAACACAGGAAGAATGCACTGCTTAATCTGTGAACAACGCAACCGATGCTGACACTTTAAATAACAAAATGTATCTTTTCTGACAGACACTTGAGCTGTGTCAATGACTTGATTAATGGTGTCATAATCCAAAGGGAAATGCTCACTGGAGCCTATGGAGTGCAAAAACATAACAGTGCAATGGACAGCTTTGACTGCATCGCTAACCTCATTCATTGGTTCATCAAGTTCAACATGTTTTCTGATCTGCACAGTACCATTGGCCTATTGATGTTTTCAGGTAATATTGAGCTGAAACATAGTTTAAGAAAAACAGACCTGTGGACAAGGACACACTTATTTTCCAATAGTGTGTCAACTAGCCAACAACTGTGGAAATTTATCTTTCTATTATTCATGCTTTACTTTTGTGATTGTTTCAAGATGTTCCTGTCGTTCAGTTGCTCATTTCTGGAGTTCCAAAAAAGCAAAGCTGACAGTTACCCACAATATTTACTGGAGCGCTTTAAAGTTTCTGTCCCGTTCAGCTGCTGCTCCATTCCCAAAAATTATTTCTAATTTCAGGTCTCGCAACAACTGCCAAGGAGGCAAAAACTTGCTTTTTCTGGGATTTTGTCATTATTATCAGGATGGTCTCCAGCTCCCCAATCTGGGGCTCCTAGTCTGAGTTGTTTGCAGTGTATTTTTGGAACAGAGCAGAGCCTGTCTCATATTCTGTAATAGGCATGATTTACTGCTCTCTCCTTGTACACAGTCAGTGACGTCCACGCTATGATACGATAAGATGCCCCATCAGAGCCATACGCTGCTCTCTGACTTCAGAGACGATTCCTTATCTTCAGAAGCTGTTTCTCAGAAACTAGGTCAGCTGAATTGGCCATTTGTAACTGCACTTGTTAGATGAAAGGCACACATAGATGCATGTGCAGTCTCTGTTGTGGGCGGTAAACTGGTGCCCGGAGCAGGTCATATTACTCATACACCACTTCAAAGAAGAGTTGATGGAAGTCTTACATAACTCTTTTGACATTTTGGATCAACTTAATAAAGGCTACATACAATTTTAAAACACTGACATTTAACATTTATCATACTGAAAACTGCTTGGGTCAACAGATTGCGACCTTGATATATTAGGTTATATGGTAGGAATTTGCCTGTGAAAACTTACTTTTCCTAGTAATGGCTGCTTTGGCTGTATTTTGAGAATGTTCCTTCCCCCTATTCACAGTTTCTAAATGGATGCATTTTTGGCCCCATAAGTTATGTATAGTTTGAGACTTCCAAAGTAGTCATAAGGGAGTCCCTTTAGCCATAACAGCCAATACATATTAAGAGAGTAATGTTGCCAATTTTCTTTACAGTGTCCATAAATAATTCTGCGGGTGTTTATGTGAATCTTGGTTTTTCCACCTTGGGCAAGGTCAGGTAAGGTCACAGCAGACTGGTTGACAGTTAATGCAGAGTCTGGAAACTTTTTTGGATGCAATGCAGTCATCAATATGCATCATCAGACAATAAAAAACAACCATGATGAAAGATGAACGCTTTTGAGTTCTTACCACATGGACTATTTGTCAATGAGAGCAGCCAAGCATAGATTCAAAATAGATGTTGAGATTAGTGCTGGTCCTGACAGGTTGTCATGGAAGTCAGTTCCAATCCCAATCAACTCACCAGCAGACTGTAACAATAGCACTAATCTGGGACTCAACCGAACCATGGATTAAAGACCCCATGTGATGAAGGCTGAGCCCAACACTGACCTGAACTCTGACCAGATAGCATGCTGCTTAAACTAAACCCAAGTCCCCACAGTACCTGCATACAGAATATTGTTGTTCCTAGCTCTTAAGAGCGTGAACATAAGCACAGGCAGGCATGACATCTGTGGTCTGCTTCACTGTCTTCACAGTATGTGCCTCATCCTTACTCATCCAAACAGGTCGCTTTTGTTAGCAGGGTCTTGTTTACATTATCATAACATAGAGGCTGGAGGCTTTGTCATTATAAGGCCAGCTTTAGACCTTGTTCCTCCCAAGGGAGATAGAAAAGAAGAAGAACAAAGAGCAACAGAGATAGAAAAGAAGAAACAACAACAAACAACAAGAAGAACATTGAGGCATTCCCTGGATTTGCTTCAATCCACAGAATTTATCAGCCTCAATCCCTTATAAACTCACTTTTTCCAGCAGGAAGCAAAACAACAAAACAAGAGCAGATTAATTAGAATTGGGAAAATCTGTGGTGGCAGGCTGTCGGGTTCCAGTCGTCAAAGCAATAGGAAAAGACCTAATGATGTACTCTTTGTTTAACACATTAGAACAACAAACTTTCCCTGGTCCCAATGTGATTGCATGACTAAGCACCTGAAATATGTCCCCCTATGCTCCTGGCTGGCACATTAACTGGCTAGCTTGCCTCTATTTGGCTTATTGGCTCAGGAGCAGTAAGTAAACTCCACTGGCCACTGTATTGCTCCAGCACAAGGTTCAGGCCAGAGAGAGAGGAAAAAACCTTTTTATGACTTTCACTCTTTGATGTAAGGAATGGATGCTGTGACTCTTATTGGACACAGTGAAGGAAAGATGCTGAGAAAGATAATAATCTAAAACTTTCTGCTATGTCCTTATCCAGAATCCAAGGTTACACAGCCCTGAGAGTTTAGAATATCTTGCTGTCAGGAGGATACATGATTGAGTGTATTCTGGTTTATAATGGTCAAATTTATTGTGCACGTTTTCCTCATGTCAACACTCCTCCTTGCTTTCGTACAATTGTGAAACCTGAAAGTTTCCATATTTCATCACCTCCCAGCTGCTAGTGGTTTTGACAACATGATCTATTGCAATATTTTGCCACCTTTCAAGGTGTAATAGATTTCTAAAGCCTTACATCATCTCTGCTGGTCTGGGCTCTATACACGCCATGTGAAATGCAGCACATGAAATCTGATATTGATACTTGCACCAAGTTTGGTTGAAAACAAATTTCCTGTCAGAGGAAAAACATGATTTCATGACACTACCAGGAAATACTGCTGTGCTAGATATTCCATGACTGACGCATTGCATGTTTCACAGACATCAATGAGTGCCTGTTTCCTGGGATCTGTAAGGATGCGGAATGTCTCAACACCAAAGGAAGCTACAGGTGCATGTGTAAACTAGGCTTCATGTTCGACTCTGAAAGCAGGCACTGTGTCTGTAAGTATCTCCCCCTTTTTATTTGAATCATAATACAGGCTTTTCTCGTGTATTGCCTTGCAATATGACGGATTTGTCAACTTCTCTTCCCAGCGGACAAGGCTGTGTCTGTCCAGAGGGCATTCTGCTACCGATCAGTGTCAGCGGGCACATGCTCTCTGCCGCTTGCTCAACACATCACCAAGCAGATCTGCTGCTGCAGCCGAGTGGGCAAGGCCTGGGGAGCTGGATGCAATCGCTGTCCTTTGCCGGGATCAGGTACAGCCACCGAAAGTTACTCTGTACTTGCTGCTGTGCATTTCCTAAATTCTTCTCCCTCTCTCAAACACTGATCAAATTCAGGACTTATCTTGTTGTCCATCTGCAGACTTCCATTTCTGGTTTTACTGTACGTGCTGAAAAACGATTTGCTGGGTTAAATGCTTTTGCAGATATAAAATGTCACATGTAATCTTATGCAAGAGCTAGCAATGGTAGTGAAAGCACAAGCGAAGAATATTTACCACTAAGTCACCATTCTGCTCTTTGCCAGACTTGTAAAGCAGTTCAAAATAACTAAATGTGTTTGGAAAGGAAAAAGACCAAAAACATAACAGTTTTCATATTTTGGAGGCTACATAATAGTGGGAGTCAGTCTTGTGTTATCACTCCAATCCTCAGAGAGAAACCCCACTAATAGACCGGCAAAGCTTCACAGCAGAAATAAATAGCTTGGCCAAGTGAAACATGGGAAGTAGTTGTCATCTTTTTTTTTCCATACCGATCTAATCTTCAAAGTCTCTGAGAGAAACAAGCTGGTTTTATGGAGTGTCTGTACTGGACAGTGATTCATAGGGATTGTCATAGATCAGATATCACAGACACAGACCTCCATGGTGCTGCTCAGCCAGGACTGACACAGTACACAGACACACAGCCTCTGATTATTTCGGACGCTGGCTTTTATATGGTCTGACAAGCTGTAAGAGCCATGTTCTGAGCAAAGCAGCCAGGCCCATTACTTGCGACTTGGTAACAGGAGCCCGATGACTTTCATTCCATATTTACTCTATTTCCTGTGATGTGGCTCCTGATCATATATAGCCCCATTTCCCTCCACTTTAAATTCATCATTCAGTAGCCTATCATATCCACGTTTCCTGCATTTACGCAAGCATTTACAGTGACCACATATCTGTCATTACTCATATCTCTATTCCAGACTCTTTTGGCGTAGAGTTGCTGGTTTCAGGTCAGGTAGGGGACACAGTGCTTCTCACTTGTAATGGATTCACCATTGCTGAGGTTTGTTGGGCTCCAACACAAAGAGGTGCAGTCTCCGTCCTATTATCTAGCCACCCAATCCTCCATTAGCCTCTCACTCACTACACCAAAGAGTTCAAAGGTCAGTCAGTATTACATGATCCTCTTCTTCCCCCACTGGCATAGTCGTGTCTGTTTGAAATATCCTCAAATCTTTCCAAATCCCCTCGCTGGTAGCCCCCTGTGACAGCTGTCATTGGCCTGCCAGCTAGCTAGTTCTGCGGAAAAAGCCAAAAAACCGACCCCCATTCACAGCAGACAGTAAAACACAGCATGCTCAACATAACAATATTACACGGATGGCTTATTGTATTGCTATGGACATCAAACAGAAATATGAGCCATAGTTACACTCTGGCAGCATTTTATGTTAGCCTTAGGAGCCTGAGAGAAGGATACAGAGGTGATGTTTTCTGTGGCTCATTGTTCGCTGCTGTATGTTGCCTACCCTGCAGATCATTTCAAGGAGATCTGTCCAGCTGGTCATGGATATACCTACTCAGCTTCTGATGTACAGATTACTCTCAGACGGCTGGGAGAAGATGATCTGCAGAGCACAAGAGTGTCATGGGAGGAGCAGAGCCCCAGTTACCCTCAACCTCCATCCTCCCACCCCTCATTGCTGCTGCCTATCAGGCCACAGCACCCCAGCTACCCACAGACGCCACAAGTACCCCAATACCCTGAGTACCCTGAGACACCACAATCACCCCGGGACCCTCTGACCCCACAGCAGCCTCTCCATCCCTCTCAGCCAGCTAGAGAGACACCCAAACAGCCGGAAGGTGAGAACAAAATGTTTGGTACATTAAATCTCTATAATTTTTTGCTCTTAATGGTAAAGAAGTGAATAGTTGCTGGCGCCGAATGCTCTGTACATATTACGCTTTGCAGTTTGGAGTATATTTTTTGCAGACTTTTACCACAACCCATGACATAAACAATGCAGGGCAGCTGAGTGATACACAATACAATTTTTCTTCTACAGGATGCAAATGGATTAGCTTTTTTTTCTAAGAATCCAAACATCAACAGGATGTTTTGATCTCCTTAAATAAATGCTTGATCCAACATTGAACATATTCGGTGTAGTGCTCACGTCCCCCCATCCATCAAAGCAAAACCCCTCTGAGCATCACAGCAGTGCACACAAGTAATCCACATGGGCCATACATATAAATCCCCAGGATTTTCTGTAAATGTATCCTCCTGATTTAATGCTTGTGAGATACTTTATTGGCAAAGCTGCGATATCTTGATTTATATGAGGAGACAATTCTGTAAATATTTGGGGATTTTTGTCTTCATTATCAGAGATATCTATTTCCTCATCTCTCTTTGCATTTTTCCTTGGCCAGTAGTCTGCGCTACCTTTCTGATTCAGCTCTCCCGCCTAGCTTAGAGGATAAATCTGCCGTAAGCTTTGTTTTATTAGAACTAAAGACCTCCAAAGCTGCAAGGCATGTGCCTAAGGAGAACGTGGGTTGTTGTGTATGTTGTGTGCAGTCAGTAATGGTACTTGTTAATGCGAACCGAATGTCAACTTTTCGCTACTGATAAACTTTTGCTCTTCTTTCTGTCTCGTGGCAGATGTGGAAATTCTGAGACCGGTAAGTTCTCCCTCCCTGTCAACCTTTTGGCACATACTTTCGAAATGTTTATCTTAGAACGATATGCTCTAGCTATCTCAGCTGGAGGGTTTGTTATGATTATATAACTTATTCAGACCACATTTTGGTAGATACTACATACACCTAATTAGCACTAACTATGACAACAAAAGCAGACATTCTGTATGAACATGAATATGGTGATGAAATGTGACCAAAGTCTTTGACAAGTTATATTTGCTTGCTTTCTAGCCAGCTGTTGTGACTGACTCACCACTGAAATATCCAGGTATTTTTCTCTTGGCTTTACTCACACAGATCATATAACACTACCCTCAACAGTTGCCTCAATGCTTTTCTTTAATGCCTGTTGTGGTTTGATTTAGCATCTCCAAGCTCGAGGGTCAATAGTAGTTTCAGTCAGGCACAGACATGTGTGTTTTCTATAAAATTGCTCACTCCTGCACGGCGGTGGCAGTCTCAGTCCTCGTCTGGTCTGCCTTCACGCCAGTGAAAACATTGACATTAAAGTCTAATGGTTGACTACATTCAACGAGTCTATTTGATTTATTTTGGTCATTGTGCTGTTTTTAGCCTGGAGAAAAGAGTGGACAATTTTTATATAGCTGCCCAGTGAGTGACAGCTGAGGCAAGAGTAGTGGTTAGGAAAACAAGCAGTGTCTCGTTTAGGTCGTAGAGAATGAAAATTTAGTATGTGTCATGGTGTTAGTGGTCCAGTCTCAATGCTTGATCTCCCTCTTCACAGAGACTTCTCCAGACTCCTCTATCGTCAACCAGAGTCCAGATTCAAAGGACACAACCCACACAGACTCAGCCACAGGTAAAACATTCATTAGAATACATGTATTAAACACTGGGTACGTATCTATAATTACCAGTGCTATACAGATGGGTATGGAGTTGTAGAATGACAGAGAGCAGCACACAGCTCAGCTCCTCATATTTTATGCTCTCAGTCAACTGCTGGCAGACAGCAGCACATCTCATAAGACATTTTTTCAGGCTTACCCAGAGTTAAGCTGAGGAGAGCTTGTATTGTGCTTTTATTTGACCCCTTTTCTCAGAGCCAATTTGGCTTGGAAGATGCCGTGCTGCACAGAGGGTGAGAGGGCGAGAAACCAAGAAAGAGTGTGCCTCTTGGAAGGGGGAGCTATCCTCTAAGTGGACGGAGGCCAGATTAATGAAAAATGGTGGGAGAGCGGAAGACAGGGTTAACGTGTGTTTGGGTGACAGAGAGAGTGAGAAGAAGAGCAACAGGGAGAAGTGAGGGGAATTTACAGTAATCCTATAGAGAAAGACATATTGTAGTGGAGTTTCTCTTAGCCAGACACAGGGGCCCAGTTCAATGTCTCTGTTTGACCATAGTCCATTTGGACAGAAAAAGTCAAGAACAACACTAATGTCAGGTTCTACTGTGCATGACCTGTTTCTCGTCAACCCCTTTGTAAGAGCTCCATACCACCTGTTAGAACACTACAGCACTGTAAAACCTGTGCTCTCATCCAAGACCCCACCTATAAAACGGCAAGAAGGGTTCCCATGGAAAACAACATGTGGTAGTGGAATGCAGTTTTATTTTTTACAGTGTCTGTAATGTTGTGTAACCGTAGTTCAGAAATATTCTTGTCTGCTTTCTCTGTAATGACTGTGCACATCTATGTGGCTTTTTGTAGGTATTGACAAGTGTGCCACGACCCCTACCATATGTGGCCGTGGGAAATGTATTCCTGTGCAGACGGGCTACACCTGCCACTGCGAGCCAGGATTCAGACTCAACGCACTGCAGACCAACTGCATTGGTAAGCAACGATGGGAGACAGAGGGAGGTGGAGTAACACAGGGGTAACGGTGGGACACTCAGTGAGAAGGAGGGGCGCACAAACACACACATGCTGACACCAGAGGCCCCAGTGGCTCTGTCTATCATCATTTCTCTGCAAGCGAGTCCTCAACACCAAACATTACACGGCACAGAAGCCTTGAGACATGAAGCGAGCCAAAATGAAAGGGATCCGTTTGTTTATGTTAACCTGTTCCGTGATGCTTGACAACAGCGTACAGGCTGTCCAAAGAGCTGCCACGGTGCTGTGATCCCTTTCCTCACGGTGAAGGTCTTGGCCGCAGCCACTGCTCGGCTGGGCTCAGGCCCATCACTGAGGAATGCCTGTGCAGCAGAGGAGCTCCAAAGTCAGGGCTTGGAAAGTGAACAGTCTCTGCTGGTGAAATGGAACTGCAATGTAATGTTGCATTCAATCTCTTCTACTCTCTTTCTCTGTCTTCTGCCTTTACTTTCTTTCTCTGTAGATGTAAATGAGTGTGACGCGGACCCATGTGAAGGGAAGGGCCACTGTATAAACAGCTTCGGCTCCTACACCTGTCAGTGCCACAGTGGCTACAGCCAGGTGATCACCCAGAACAGGAAGTTCTGTCAAGGTGAGACAGCCTAAATGACAGCAAGGGACATAATGTTTCCAAGGGATGAAAGCCACCATAGGCTGCTGTTAGCTTACTGACTCTCTGTTAGGGCACCACCAGTTCTTGTCTGTCAGCACTGTTCATTTAAAAAGCATCCTGCCCTAATTAATGCTGTGGAACACAATAGTCACTTTCTTTTCCATTCTCCTTGGTTTTCACTCAAACTGGCAGACATTAATGAGTGCAGCATGCCCAACAAGTGCCAGAATGGCAAATGCGTCAACACAGAAGGATCTTACACCTGTGAATGCAACGATGGCTACGCCAAGTCTCGGAGAGGCCTATGCGAAGGTGACATGCATGCACAAGCGCCTACGCACACATATTTAGGTTCACATAACAGCACAGTCCCATCCAGACCTTTTTGTTTGCTGCCATGAGTTCATGTGTAGCCCGGTAACAAAACACATGTATTTTCCTTTAGTAGAAGCCAGGAAGAACACTGCGCTTACTTCGTGATTGATTTGTATATATTAGTATTTGTGACCTTATACCCTCTTTCTTCCATGCACATTGTTTTAGTAACAACTAATTCAAATGATTATTTTCATGTCCCACCTTCTCCCTGAGCAGATGTAGATGAGTGCAGAGATCCCAGCTCCTGTCCCGACGGTGTCTGCGTCAACACTGTCGGCTCCTTCCAGTGCCAGGGCTGCGGCCCAGGGTTCAGGCCAGTTGGTGACAGATGTGTGGGTAAGGAAACCCCACACCCGATCATAGCACAGCAGAACCACCACCACTACCCAAACTCCTGAGGGTGTTTCCGACCACTGCATGGAAATAAGCTGGGTTTCCCTCTTACACTGTAAAAGCTTCCTGTATTAGGTAACATTTACGTAGACAAAGCAGTTGGCATCACCAAAAATAACCAAGGCGGCATGGCAACAAGCCGTCCAATTAATGACTTCCCGACAACTTATGATACTGTACAGTTCACCAAACAGCACAAGCTGAATTAGTATGAACGGGGACGCTTGGCTGCTGATGTGCACGGAAATCGAATAAAAAAAGTAGTATTTTATGCTTCAAAAGACTTATATTGGATGTTTTATGTCCAGTGTGGACCACTACTGGGCCCACACGACAGCCCAAAACCACAGTGATGAAGGCTATATTGCAACCCTCCACCCTTTCTCTCCATTCAGTGTTTCCACGTATGATATATCAACTCCTTCACCCAGCAGCCTCTGCATATCCCCAGTATTGTTTAAACACATTCACCGTGTTATTGCTGATCTTTCGATATCACTGGCCCCCGTAAAAAGATTGTTTATAATACTTCAATTTGGGAGAGTCCAAATATTTTCTCTTGGCCACAGCCTTAAACAAACAGCATATTATTGTTGGAGAACTCTGGCCACTGTACTGTTGGGCCCAGCGGAGGCCAGCAAGGCTTTATTACCACTGCTGGGCTAGGTGATAGGACGGAGCAGTCACAAGAGATGAATGAGAAGGTCAAAGAGTCAATTACCCTCACCGCGAAGAGGTCCCGACACACAAACAAACTCTTTCACTCACACAGTGTCGTCTGCGGTCCACTGTAAAACTCTTACTGCTGATTATTAGATTTGAATACACAAATGGCCACCACACTACATTTGGTGTGTGTTGTGTTTAAGCTAACACGTTAGCAGCTCCCAACCTTAAAAGTGGTCCTGTTACATAAGAGCCTGACTGGTGTTACTTAACACATCCCCTCTCTATGACCTTGCACCCCTCTAACTTGTTTGGAAACCTAAGCTCCTGAAGCGAGTATTCCAGAAATGTGAAAAGCTGAAAAGCCGAATTCTAACTCGAATTGTAATTTAGAGTTCTTTATAACTGATTTCTCAGTAGGTCTGACGACTGATGCCTTTGTTTAGTCTCACGATTTCCTTGCTTCCAAAGATTACACCACTTCAGCCACTCTCTGTTTGCAAGTCCACTAATATTATTCATTCTGTGTAAATCTGTAGTGTATAAATAGTAATCGAGAGGAACCCTGTAAACGAGGGATAACATTGGAGGTAAATATTTTTCCTCTAAGCATCTGCCCAGGCAGTGCTAACAGTCCCACAGTATACGTCTGGCTCTGTGGGAGTCACATAAAACAGGCACATGAGTGCTGGGTTTCCAGTATTTGCTTCAGTCAATTGACGGTAGCACAGTAGTTTGGGCCCAATTGGCCGAATCGTGGATAAGCCTAATTGCTGGTGTGATAGAGAAAACAGCTCCATTCCCTTGTCAGGGCTTATCGCGGAAGCCTGAGAGATGCCGGATGATTGCAGAAACAAAGCAACGGGCCACACTGACAGACGTCTGGCAGTGCCCAAGGCTAGGCAAACAAAACCCAGTCTGTGACTTTCTTGCAGTTCTTTCACTGTGTGAGCTTTCTGTTTCAGCGTCTCTATCACCTCTCAGTAGTGTCCTCTCTCCACCTCCTTTGCAGAAAAATACTTTTCCTTCCTCTTTCCTCTTTCCCTTCCGCTTTTATTGTCTCTTTCTCTTTTCCCACACCTTCACCTAACCTGAAATATTGCCATTGTTAACACTTGATAAATGCCTCTATAAAACATTGTTTCTGCAGCTTTTCCACAAATTTAATTCCTGGGTAAACTGTTCTGACTCATGAAGTGGAAAAGTCAGCTACTGCTGCAAATAGTAAAAGCCCTTCATGAATGGGGTTGGGTGCACTGATGTAAGTTAATGACTGCTGTTTTGCACTCATTTTGCACGCTAATTGTGCTGTTATCATTTCCCCTTTACTGCTGTACTATGCCAACATGCCCTTATTTTGTGCACGCGTATTTATTTTTATTTCCTGTATCTTATTGTTGTTTCCTTCTGCAATGGCCCAATTTTACCCTGTATCTTACATTTTATCTTCCGTGAAAGGGTCGGTACACCCAAATTACAAAAACAACACATTTTCTTAGTCATGCAGATAGTTATTTCTATGGGTTTTCTGCCTTCACCCATATACAATGGAGAGAAGTGGATTTTTGTTTGTGGCTTTTACAGCATTAAAATAAATTGGCTTAGAAAATTCAACAGCGCTGTTTTGTTTTCTGTGATGGAACTACTTTCTATCACGAAGAAAAAATCATGGATATGTTGTTGTTGAATGCTTTAAATGTCATTAAATGCACCATGACTTAAATTGACTCATTGTATTGGGTTAGCGGCAGAAATCTCAGACTTGGATATCTCAAACAAAAAACATTAAAACCATAAAATCCCCATCTCATATATATTTTGACCTGTCCTTCTGTCTTTAGATGTAAACGAGTGCTTGAACCAAACAATGTGCGGCCGTGGTAGGTGTGTCAACACCGAGGGCTCCTATAGGTGCAACTGTTTCCAAGGATACGAACTCTCACCGGACAATATTTGCCAAGGTAAATGTCAGTCAGAAGCTCAGTCAAACTAACATCTAATATCAAAGTAATCTGTGAATAGTCCTTCACAGTGCTCCTTCAGAAGCCTTGCAGCACCATTTAAGGTTTATGAAAAGGCTACAAAGAGTTAGTGGTTGTCTTTATTTTCTGAGGCCCTCTTATTCTTCCTCTGTATTCTTCCCTCCAGATGTGGATGAGTGCTCGCTCCCTGAAGTCTGTCTCCACGGCCGCTGTGTCAATCTGGATGGCACCCACAAGTGCACCTGTAACCATGGTTACCAAATCACCTCAGACAGCAAATACTGTGAAGGTCTGCAAAGGATTATCTAGATAACTGTTGGGTGTAACTCACCACTGCATACTTCTCAGCTCGTGGAGCTCTCTTGACAGCAGAATAAAGTCTGCAAATTATTTCTTTTTGTTAGATGTCGACGAGTGTGCAACCGGTAATGCATGCCCCGCGGGAATTTGCATCAACTCTGTAGGGTCCTACATTTGCCAGAACTGCAGTCCTGGGTTTGGACCGTCTGCTGATGGACTGAAATGTGAAGGTATGAAATCAGCTGATTTACACTAAAGTGTAAAGTTTTTGACAAGCCCTGGTAGATAGTGATGGTTTATTTTTGTTTGCAGATGTGGATGAGTGTGCCCAGGGTGACTTGTGTCTTGGTGGCGTGTGTGCCAACACAGAGGGATCCTACACCTGCACCAGATGTAAGGCTGGCTACAGAGTGTCTCAAGACCGGCAGAGGTGTGAAGGTAAATTTGATCTCCAGCTGTGCTACTCATTCAGTAAAAAACATTAGAACTGTTAACAACTGTTAAAGACTTACTCAACACATCTGGGCAGTTTGTCAACTCGCCATTAAAGCTCCTCTGCTGTGCAACCGAATTCCCTCCACATATTGTTCAGTATTTATAGTAAAGTCCATGCATGTCTGTGCTGGTGTGTATGTGTTTCACCCAGATATTGATGAGTGCCAGTCCCTGTCTACCTGTGCCAACGGGATCTGTCTGAACTCGGAAGGCTCTTACACCTGTGAGAACTGCCCCACTGGGTACAGAGTATCGTATGACGGGGAACTCTGTGAAGGTTAGTTTATTCAACACCAGTCATCTAAATGAACTCCTGAATAACACCATATGTATATTGAATTCAGTGTGAAAAAACTAATACTGGTGGGAATAGTGGTTCTTGCCTTTCATCATAAATTTGGGTCTTTCTTTCTTGGCTGTAGAGACAGCCCTGTCCTGCAGCGAAATGTTTAACAGTCTGTGTTGTATTTCACGCCAGATATTGATGAGTGCGCGCTGCCCACTACATGCCCCCAGGGAACATGTACAAACACAGAAGGTTCCTTTACATGTATCATCTGTCAGCCTGGTTTCAGAGTCTCTGAGGATGGACAAGAGTGTGATGGTGAGGCTTTTGGCTGTGTTTGTGCTGGAATGTGCTTTTGTTATATTTGTATACTTGAACACAGGTGTGTGTGGCTTCCCCTTCTATTCAAACATGCCAGACCTTGCCCTAATACCCAACAAAATCGCGGTTGAGGGTGAATGTGCCAGCTGTTTCAGGTTGTACGTAAACAGCATCAGGTGTGGTGGCTTTGACCCCAAAGCCCCATCATCTGAGCTCAAAATCCCAAAATACTCCTTCTAGACATCACATCATAGCTGGATCCTGGACCCCTCCGCCTCTGGCACTGCTCATCTGATCCTTGCTCAACACAATGAGACACCAGCCCTCAAATAGAACAAAATGATGTCAGGCTAATGTCCCGCAGATAGCTTAGCTAAAAAGATTGAGGTGTCGACATTTGTAATTCCCAGTTCCAGTGATTGCCGATCTAACTGATTACAACTGGCGGCCTTTATTTATTTGAAGCCAGAGATGGTAATCCATGCTATGATGTGTTCATGTTTTTCTGTCCAGATGTTGATGAGTGCTTGGTGGCTAATGTGTGCCCGGGCCAGCTGTGCTTGAACAGCCCAGGATCGTACACCTGCAGGAGCTGTGGAGCCGGCATGCAACTGTCTGAGGATGGTTACGGCTGTGAAGGTAAAAGTACCTTTGTGTTTACTTACCTGCTTAGAACAGTTTTGAGCCGTCATCATGGTAAACATTGGACTGGGAGAAAGTTACAGTAGACCACAGTAAAAACGGAATGCATTTGACCCAGAACATGATTACAGAAAATCTTTACAGTGCTCAGTAATTTGTCATGACATGATTTATGAGATCAATGCAGTGAAATGGCTGCTTTGACGAATCCAGGGAGGTTAGATCTGTCATGACTTCATGGGAAGCAGAAAAGGAATGATTATTTAAATGGATTCAAACATGGCCTCAGTAAGTCATATATACTGCGATGTGTGTTTTTGAATGGAAGTGTGGATCTAGCCCAGGAGGAAGATCCCCCACTGATATGTGTCTTTGCGCTGGGAAAAAGTTTCACAAAACAAGACAGAGTCCAAGTCGGCCTCTGATAGGATTTTAATGGATGCCTCTGATGCCATGGAAAATATTAAGGGCTTAATTTGAAATGAAGTCAACCACTCCCCTGCCTTCCATGTACTGCAGCGGGCTCACCCTGTTGAACTCGCTCTGTTCACCCAAAGGCAAAACGGAGCCGTCTCAATCACTTAACAATGGCCCACACTATTTTCTCCCTAAGAAATACAATCTGTACTGGCTCGAGGAATTTTCAATGATCACATAACAGCGAGCCAGTGACTGTTTGTAGATACAGTAATTATACGCCACCTGTAATAGCTTGCTGTTTTGGATTCGATGACCGTCCTGCATACTTATCCTTCCACTCTTTTTAATAAAACACTGTCAGTGCGATCTAATAAAGGGGGCTTTGCTTACTGTACGTTAGGCTGAGTCACACTCAGCCATTAATAATTTTTATCAGGTAGGACAGTGAACGATCAAAAAGTGGACTCTTTAGAGGTCCCTCTGCTTAAGATGATAACCTATAGCTAACCTTTTTTTCTTCCTGTGTTCCTTAGACATTGACGAGTGCCAGACCCCAGGTGTGTGCCCCACGGGTGTGTGCACCAACACAGAAGGCTCCTTCTCCTGCAAGGCCTGTTACCCAGGCTTCACAGTGGCACCTAACAGGCTCTCATGTGAAGGTACAGTGCAGTGGGTGGTTCACAGTGGTCACTTAAATTTATGATTTCTGTGCAATCGTTTTCACAGTCATCTGTTCCAGCGCAGTGTGACCTACTATAATAAGAAAAAAGTCATTACTTACTGATGCAGATGATGCATGACTTTTCTGACATGTTCACTGTGGTCTGGAAGCTCTTCATCCAAATGTCAAAACTTGGGCAAATTTGAGGTGAGACCCAGTGATTTACAGCTGGTGTGAATGTGTAATGCTGATGACGTCTGCGTATGTGTCAATGCAGATGTGAATGAATGTGAGGACAACAGCCTGTGTCTGGGAGGTCAGTGCACCAACAACATCGGCTCCTACAGCTGCTCCTGCCCCGATGGGCTGGAGCTGGTGGATGGGACGTCCTGCAGAGGTATACAGACACACATACACTCTGGGTCATCTGACACATAAAATATATACCATTAGTGGTTAACCGTTTCTCATGGATTACCTCATGTTAGCATCTTGACACAGCTGCTTGTGTATATTTGTGCTTGTGTGTGACAGATATCAATGAGTGTTTAACCATCTTCGGGATCTGTGGAGAGGGAGACTGTCTGAACACTGAAGGCTCCTACATGTGCATTTGTCCTGATGGGTATACCACCATGGAAGGAAGGACCGGCTGCCAAGGTACAGTAACATATTGCAGAAAGATCACTAATAGCAATTGGAAATTATTTTTCACATGACTTTTAAGGGCTTTGTGTAATTGGATGAGGCAAAACTGTATTGCTCAAGTCATTTTACAGTAACCTTGTTGGCTTGCCGCAAGTTTTATTCACTCAGTGCAGGCGAGCTAACAGGCTATCCTCACACTGCCGTTCTGGGTGCTGAGGCCAGGCCTGGGACCCCTGGCATGGGTGATGAGGCCCAGCCTCTCTGTGTAATGGGCCATGGCCTCATCAACTGTCTCAGCTCAGTCTCTCTCTCTGCTCGGACATCAGTTTGATGTTATTCCAGCCGCACCCAGTGACCCAGCAATGGGGGGAAAAAAATTGAACCTGATCATCAGCTAAGGAAGGCTTTTCTTTTCAACAAACTGGAGCATTTTCTGTCAAAATACATGATATGAGTTTGGCTAGTGTGTCAGAATTGGATCAGTGTTATTGCTGGTGTGTTTTGCAAGAATAGTAAGAGGTGAAGTAAAGTCAACAGCAGGTTGTCTGGCAATGAAATATCCTGTCGTGACGTGAAGCAGGTAGGTTTTTGAGCTCTAGGTTTGACTTCCAGTAGAGGACTAGGGTCAGTCCTTGAACAGGGACATTCTTCCACAGAGGCTTTGGCCTTGGAGCACTTCAGATATCGTCCACAGGCTCAGAGCTAACTGCCCAGCCTGCATCAGGTACTTTGGCTGCCTGCCACAACAAATACTGAGCTCTAATTATCCTATAAATCAGCAGTTGTCGTATATTTTCTTGCAGTCTGCTATTGTGTGTACAGTGCTGACACAATAAAAGCCAGACCCCTCTGACATGAGCCTGCAGGGGGAGGTGAAGGGAGGATCAGGGTATGTGGGTTTATGGGAATGAAAGATGGGTTTAGTCAGGTGAGGCCAAAATGATGCTTGGCCTTGACCAGAGCAATCTTTCAGCAAAAACAGAACTTACGTGAAAAAGGACTGACAACAGAATGAAACACATCTAAATTTAATCTAAATCAACAGGTTGCGCCATAGCCTTGCCGTGCCTTTCAATACAGGCTTTGAAGTACTTGAATTAACTCCAAAGCAATCCAGTCACAGCATATTTATGTGTTTACTTATAGTCTGGGATATTGTTTTTTTTCTCCCTATCTTTGCAAATGGTGTTTACCTTGTCATCTCTGAAAGATCCATCTGATTTTCAAAGGTTGGAAAAGGAAGACTTTTCCCCAGTGATGAATTTCCCCTGCTTTCTTGCCTTTCCCCCACCTTTTACCCAAGGTCCAAGTACCTTACAAGTTATGTTGTAATGCTGCAATTATCCACCAATCTACAGCTAATCAAGCATGTCGCATTCATTATTAATTTTTACGAGCTGGAGGGAAATGTTCTCAGCCTGGAAAGCTGAGGTAAATGTTTTTTTTCTCCTTTGTTTCCTGTTTGCCAGTATACTGTTAAGTGCTGCAAATTGCCAATGCATCTTGAGCTCAGACATTTGCTTGATTACACATTCTTTTTGTGAAACTTGTGAAAAGGAGGGGTGATCCCTCAGGACCTAATGAAGACCGAGGATAAATGGGGATATTTAGTGATAATCAATATGTAATAAATCTTGACCCACCCTTTCCCCAAATATGTATCTTAATTTGTCTGCCATTCCCCCCTTTTCTGTGCCTTAGATGTGGATGAATGCAGTAAAGACAATGTGTGCATCCAGGGCCGGTGTCTCAACACTGATGGTTCCTTCTTGTGCTTGTGTGGGGCTGGCTACAAGTTCAACGCTGACACGGCTGACTGTGAAGGTAAGACATTATAAAACTCTCCTGTAATGTCCTGTTGTGTATGCCATAGTGAGTATTGAACCCAAACTCTGCACAGAGCTTTCTACTCTCTGTGTAAACCAACATGTCAGCATTAGCTGTTTGATCGCCACGCTACATTTAGACTTAAGCGTACCCGGTATAGTACAGTTGGCCATGATTGATTATCTATAGTCAGTGGGGACTGGGCTCCAGTAAAAGTGTCCAAGCCTGGCTTAGAGGTTTTCCTCTATGGTCTCAGGACTGGGGGGTGCCTGGATTACATGGCTGGAGCCCTGAACTCCCTCTCCCAAGAGGGAAGCATGAATGACCCCATTGTGAGCAGGAGGTGTTTCTCCCTCTGGAACGTCTCCCTTTAGCTCCTTCACAAGTTCTTTGGTTGCTGTGATAATATTGCTCTTGGCCATTCCTGTTGCCTGCTGCGTTTACTGAGGACAGCCACACCACAGGCCTCCTGGCCGACTTCTGTTGTACAGCCATTACACTGGAAGCAGAGCAGCAGTGCGGGAATATGTGTGTGGGGTTGCATGTGTCCATGTTAATGTCTGATTGCACATGTGGTTGCGTTTGTGCCTCTGTTTGTCAGTTACTAACCAAGATCTGCCTCTCACTGTACAGACCAGAATGAGTGCAAGGAGTTTGGAAGCTCAGTGTGTGGTACCTGGCGCTGCGAGAACACCCTCGGCTCCTATCGGTGCTTCATGGGCTGCCAGCCTGGCCTCGAGGGAGAGGACACCACAGACTGTGGTGAGTGGTCAAACCACGTATAGTTATAGTTAATTATGTTAAGAAAAAAACAGGCAGTATTTGAGGCTAACTGTCTTTAGGCTGAAGCAAAAGATGTATGCATTGAATGGACCTACCTATTTTTGTACCAAACATGTACCCTAATTCAATCCATTTTCCATGGGGGCTGTAGTTAATGAGATGGGAGACCGTAGCCTCAAATCAACTCAACGCTCTATATACTCTTCAGGACTCTCCCACCATGCATAGATAATGATATCTGTTTGGCATGCAGACACAAAGAGCCTGATGTGAATCAAAAGCTATCAGGTACTCGAGGTCTACCCACACAAGGGGCCATGGGGGAGATGGGAAGAAGTGGCCCCTGAAATTGGGGCACTTTACAAAGAGGAGTGCACTGTCATTGGAGGCGGTGTGTGAGGCCAGCGGCTGATAATGGTCTCTTCCTCCGGACAACAGAGCTAATGGAGCGGCTCTGGCAGAGACACAGGGTGGAACCTGATCACCGCCGTTCATCTTTTGAGAAGGGATAGGATTGTCAGTCCCTTACCTCTTTTTTGGACGAGCCCGGTCACCTGGGTTGACTGGTTAGGTTTGTACTTATGCTACATCTGGGCCCACAGCTGGCCAACAACAACGGACACATCTCCATGACCTCCAGAATAGATGAAGCCTTCTGTGTTTACTGGCAGGATTAGATACCTGGGGTTTGAGATGTTAATGCGGTTTGTTGCACAAGGAGTTTATCACTCTTTATTTTGTAGCGCAGTATTGCTTGTCTTTTTTGCTCTCATAGCACCATAAAACAACAAGTCTGGTTTATGAGGACTGCGAGAGACAAAAACAAAAGGCCAAATATTTTCCTCATATTAAGACAGAATCCAAACAGTCACCGGAGAGTGACAGGCAAAGAGGGGAAAGCAGTCTGAGAGCATCACAATGGAATGACGACTTGGACTCCAGATGGAAGCTGTGGATGTTTGCGGGTGATTGAATGTGTATGTGAGTGCGAGTGTGTGTGTGCATGTGGTTAACTGTGGGTTTTTGCATCCCCTCTCATGTGTTTGTGTTAGAGAAAGAGAACCAGAGACCAGTAACCGTTGAAGCACTTGGATTGCGGTGCGACTTCACACATTCTCATGACCCTGAGTTTTTATTGGACTATCAACAGATGGACATCAGGGGAGAACATGCTGCTGCAGAGCTGATCAGTGACAGTTCAGACCGCCGCCCCCTCCATCACCCTGATCCGGGCTACGTGTGGCTGCCTCCTCACTGCACTTTATGATGTTGTCTGTCTGGCACAAGCTGAAGAGTGCAAGGGCCTGTAGTGCGATAAGGGCAGATTGAAACCAGCTGCTCACCTCCGTGCTCCTTTAGTGTCAGAGTGAAAACACTGCTAAGCTGCCAATATAGGTTCAAATCAGTGTAGTGCTCATTGGTTTTTCTTACCTGACATGTCCTGCAGAGCATGATGGAATCTGTAAGTGGGAACTAATTAAAGAACTTTCACATTGTCCCCTATGGTGCCACAAAGTTTAACTTGTCTGAATAGGTGCCCAGTTATGATCGAATCTGACCATCTTTCCCCCGTTGCTATGTTGTGACGCCAGCTGTTCATATTTTCTCTAGATCCCACAACAAACACTTGTACAGCTCAGTGTTGACTCACAGCCCTAGTTTGAAAACCAAGCCCTCTTACCCTCAGAAGCCCAGCGCAACACACAATAGTGGCTTGTTTCACCTCACGACGGCAAGTTGTGGGAGATGCTGCCGTCACCCCAATAAAAGTCCAGGGAGGGAGCTCAATTACTCCAGGGCATTTTTGTCTGCTTGTAAAAATCATCAAATATTTAAGAAGAGGCCAGACACTGTAATTTGCCGTTTCTGTGAGGGGCGTTGTTTTATTTTTACTCACCGGCCTTCGAAGGGGCAGCGGTTGTCTTTGGCTCTGCTCGCAGCACTCATTTAGATTTAGAGGCCATAATACAAAAGGGAAAAACAGGGGTTTTTTTCCGCAGCATCGCGTCAGCTCCGACTGTGCTATGAGGGCTGCACTCAGCTCTGCCATGATGCTATACAGAGGGCCCCTTTGGGCATGTGAAAAAGGCAGTATGCGTGTAAAGCAGGTCATTGTTTTTTCGCTTTAATCCACCATCATGCTCATAAACTCCCTTTAAGCTATGCCTTGTCTTTAATAAGACTTGCCCAAGGGCGGAAATTGTCTGTGGTCACACTCCTGCCAACCTCCCACCCCTTTAAATGTATAGAAATCTAAAGACTTTACCATGTGTGTGTGATTGCTCATGCTGTTATGTGGATGTAAGATATTTTTTCTCAGAAGCACACGCATTATATGACAGCTTGACCTCCATTGTAGTTAACCCAAGACAGGTTGTAGATGTAATGTCAGATAAAGCGCACAAACATGCCTCCCTGAAAACAAATACCTATTCTCATCCTTGCCCAGTCGCGTGTGAAATAACCTCTCCATATGGGTCCAATCAGACAAGGGGTTGCCCAGAGAATATGGCAGAAGTGTGGGCTGCAGAGGGTGAGCCAACAGTCACTGATTCCTATATCCTTGCTGCATGCCACCATGTGCTCCAGATTAACACATGGAACAGAGACCCACACTTAACCCTGCGCAACACCCCCAATCACCGCATTACCAGATCCAGGAAGAAGGTCCTCCTGGGTCAGACCATTAGGAGAGGTGCCTGTTGGGCCTGGTCGTGCCTTAACCTCATCTCCTCCCATCTCAATTGAACTCCTCACCCTCTACTCTGCCTCACTTCTCCCCTCCGGGCAATTTACAGCTCTGCATGTGTCCTGACGTAACTGATTATTACATGGAAAGACTAAGAAAGGCAACCCCAGGTCCTGCTGGTGGGAGACTAGCTCTTGGTGGAGTTATCTCATTTTATATTGTTCAATTTTTCCCACAAACCATTACTGTTGTGATCTGCACTCACTCTCTGCTTGGATGACAGGTCTAAATGGCTGGTCAAGTAATGCTGCCTCTCAAAATCCTCTCAGAGTCAGATACACAGATAAACAAAGGCCATTAAAATTGTTTTGGTCTCAATGCTCTCATTTCTCTTCAGGATGATTCTTTGATTGCATCTCATCACAACATGTGGTTTTCAACAGATTTTGTTCCATGTTACACATGAATGAAAAGCTGCCTGCAGACACTGATTATTTCATATATTAGCGGAGCGCTTTCAACGCCTTCCTTCCAGACCTCCCAGCTGGCCACTGCTGTCATTCCAACATTCCAAACTCCACTTAAGCTCTTCACACTTGAGGAAAAGTTCCTCAAACTCTGATACACAATACTTTTCACCTTATTCTCGGCTCTTGATTGAGTTCAGGGAATATTCTTCTCGAAAATGTATTTTTCAGTTGCATGTAATATGTTACAGTATGCGAAAAACTGCACCAGTTCGGCATCTCAATCCGCAGCTGCAAAATGCAAATCCAATGGGTTGGCGTTTTTTAGTATGTGTCCATCCACTCTCCCTCCATCATCTTGCAGTCATTTGAGCCCACAAGTTTCAGCATTTCCTGTAAAAGGTTTTACAAACGACAAAGACAATTTTGTCTCTGCAGTTTTATTAGCTTGTGGGAGCCTCCTGTCTGTGACCCCGGAGGCATGTTAGGGAAGTGGCCAAGTCGGGACAGGAACACTGACAGAAGAGTTGTCCCCCAGCAAGCCTGAGAGAGTAGTTGTCTGTGTTGGAGGGGAAGACAGGACCCCGGCCAAGTGCTCAGTTCAAATCATATGGCTTGTGGCTTCTCTGGCCTACTTTCTTCCTTCCCCTCAGTTGATACAACCTTTATGAGTGCTCAGAGGCAAAATAAAACTGGTTTAGACAATACGTGTGTGACACTGCTTTTCACTCCATAAATCAGTTTGTTTTAAACATCTGAGGTACCACAGGCTTGACTTTTTTGTCCTAACCAATTGTAGGAGCAAACTTCAGTCAAAAGTGAGCTTTACAAGTATTAGACTCTTTAGTGGAACTGATCAAAATTGATACCTTTTATTCAAGTTGCTGGGGTTTTGTTGTCTGCATATTCTCTCCTGTATTTGAACCAAGTCTTCCTGTTTTTCTGAAACTTGTGATCACTCCAGTGGAGTTTCTGTTAGTCATGGAAACTCTGAATGGAAAGGTCATGGAGAGTTGTTATGAAACTAATACAGTCAACAAAAAATCTAATCATACTTACGATAAAACAGACACAGTGGTGTGTGCTCTATTTTGTGTATTTTCAGTGCAGTTCGTATCAAATAATAGCCCCGTCAGTCATAATGTTCTCAACTTAATGACTTGCAGAAAATATACAGGCACTGACTTAATTTTTCCCTCCGACTGAGTTGTTTTTTGCTGACTTTGTTTTTTGTTTCTAAACTGAAGAACAAGATGCGGTTTTTGACATGAGCTGTTGAACAAATCTCTCATAAACGTATCTTCAAAAGATGCTGGAAGATTGGAACGCATGAATAGCCCATTTTATATGGCTGTTTATGCTCTTAAGAACAAATAAACACTCACTAAAATAAACAGTTCGGTACAACTGAAAGACGTAACATTGACCAGTAGTAAGCCTAACTGACTTCAAATGCCTCAAGTGTGATCTCATCATTTTTTAAACAGTTATCAGACTTGCCCACCACCAGTAACAGCCTGTGCTATACTATACACCAAGAAATCATGTATGTAAGAAATTGCTAACAAATGTTGCCTTCGAACAGCGGGTGGTACTGCTGTTATATGCTCCAGTGTTAACAGCCTCAACGTCCATGCTTCTCTCTCTCTCACTGACATATAGCATATAGTCTCTCCCCTGGTTTTATTAAACATGTTTCATGATTTACTGCCATGCAAACACTGAAGTACTATAGGCTGCCGCCTGCCAGATTTTATCATTAACTACCATTTTGGGCCTTAAATCAAGTCCAACGCTCAGAATCCTTTCATAGTATCATTTTAGATTCAAAGGAGATGATGTCAAGCACATTAAAATAGGATTAAACACATAAAACTCTGATTCGGATTGAAGCAATTTTTGTCAGAAGGCTGTCAAAGAATCTCTTCATGCCAAATCCTGAACTCTCAGTCATGTTTCTCCAACTGAATGCTGTAAACTCCTCTGCCTCTTACATTTTGCCAACATTTCAGTGACTTACGTGTCACTTCTCACTCTATTGACACAACCGACAAGCATTCACTTGCTGTTTCCAGATTCACACTACGCCCGATGTCACTGCGCTGATGCATAGAGAAAGTCTCCCTGAATTATTTTACAAGCATCAGAGTTCGAAAAGCCTTTTAATGAATCGTCTAATCAGTACACCCTTTCTGACATGTTATGATGGCAGTGATTTCTGTTGTTATTGTAAGGTCAAAATGATAGTGGTGTTTATTTTGGAAAAGCAGCACAGTGTTTACCGTGGCAGTTTGAAATTCTATTGTGCAGAGCGGCACTGTAAATATTAATGTTATGCTCACCTCTCTGTGCGCTCTCGCCTTGCAGATATTGATGAGTGTGTCAATGAAACCATCTGTGGGAACCACGGCTTCTGCGAGAACACAGATGGCTCCTTCCGCTGCCAGTGTGACCAAGGCTACGCCAACCCACCAGGAGATATGAGCAAATGTGTTGGTCTGTAACTGCTTTCCAATAAATATTCATTGTACTTTACTGCTTAAAAGAAAGACAAAACAAAACAACAAAACAATTAGTCAATCCTATCAACAAGTACTTCCTGTGTAGCCAAAGCCATACAGTTCCACTGTTGCTCAAAAACGATTAAAAACACATCAGTGATCCACACTGTTGTACTTTCCTCGATAACCATGGGCACTGTAGTTTAGTTCGAGTCAATCCCACATAACACTATCCTGTTGATGTAAATACTCACAAGAGCACCACATTTGTAAATAGAAGTACCCAATGAATGCTCTATTTACACCTGTTTGAGTAATGTTTGCTAAAAACTACAGTGCCCATCTGTTTTAGGAAAATTATTTAACCTTTTTTGAAAATGAAAGTATAGAAGTTTTTAAAGATTTACATCTTCAATGTGGAACCAATAGGCTCGGTGCTAAGAACCACAAGTATTGAGAGATTCATTGCACACATTTAGCGTATACAAACAAATGTAAAATCAATAGGGAATCAATCACTACAAAGAACTGAATAAATAAAGAACTAATGAATGCTTTCTTCCCTGTCGTTTGGATATGAATTACTCTCCAAATAACGTGATGATAAAGATTATTTTGTCTGACCTTGCCACGACCTTGCTGAGCGCATGCCTTTGTGTACGTGCCTGACGCTTTACTGACCTCACGCCCTCCTCTCCTGTCTTTCTCAGATATGAACGAGTGCGAGATGAGCCAGGCGCTGTGCGGGGAGGCCCTGTGTGAGAACGTCGATGGCAGCTTCCTGTGCATCTGCCCCAACGACAATGAGGAATTTGATCCCATCACCAGCCAGTGCCGCTCCCTGGGTAATAGAGCAGGGCTAGCACTCACAGTGATTCACAGGACTTAATTCTCCATCCCATCATTGGGAGACGGAGTTTTCCCTGATTTAATGAGCCGTCTCTCATTATCCAAACAACAAGGGTGACGAGGTGGACATGACTTACTCCGCGTCTCTTGTAGTATCTAGAGTATCTTTTGACCTGGCTGTTTCCATTTGTTTTATAAGGTTATGGTTGGATGGGTTGCCTATAAAAATGTGTATTAGCCTAATCCCTCGAATGAGTGATGAAGTAACTCCTCCAGAAGAGCCAAGTAAATACCCTAAGGGCCTAGTTACTACAAACCCATTTCCTTACCAAGACAAACAGGGATAAGGTGTAGCTATTGGCCATTAAGACACATCTCTCTCTTCGGTGCTAAAATCATCTTAAGTGCAGAGGTTACATATATGCAATGCATTGCAATATCATAATGATGGAAAAGGCCCTTTGAGTCATGGAAATACCATCACATCCCCAGCTTGATAGGCGTATGTGTACACGAATTGGCCGTATTTACATTATTAAGCGGCGCGCCCTCAGCGGGGATGTTTTTTCTTCTGCCTGGGCACTAAACCCCAGCTATGCCTTTGTGTACCTTTTTGCCACATTCCGCTGTTTGCTTTTGACGTGCGTTAATCAATCATGTGAGAATGAATGGTGTGTTGACTCACATGCCAGTGTTTCCATTTGGCTAAGCCGGCAGCTTAACAGTGAAATGCCTGAGCCCATGCCTTTGGACAAATGAGCAGGCTCAGCAGTGGCAGGCGAGGGTAATGCACTACCTGCTGGAGGCATGTGGACACACTGACGGATGAAGAGCAGTGTTACCGTGTGATGATGTACCGCTCAAATGTAGGATTTACTGTAACTTTATGTACTGTGACATCCTGACTCAATATAAATAGATTTAAGTTTTATGTGTGAGCACTTTCACTCCTGAATTTCAGGTGCTTTCCTGTAACTAACCATGACCTCTGACCTCGCTGGGCCTAAAGAACTGTTTTCTTTGTTCAGCTACAGCTGATAGTTCCCCGAAACCCGCTACTCGACTCCTCCCGTCCACTCACTCAGCTGAGGAGAGGAAAGAGTGTTACTATAACTTGAATGGCGCCAACTTCTGCGACAACGTCTTGTCTCGAAACGTCACCAAGCAGGAGTGCTGCTGCACGGTGGGGGCAGGCTGGGGGGACAACTGCGAGATCCACACCTGTCCTATCCCAGGAAGAGGTACAAAAAGATTGTGATATATCAGAAGAAAGTCAACTATTATTACTACTATTTACTGCCTTGTTTATTGTGTGGTTTTTATTCTTTTTGCATCTTCAATTACATTAATGAAGCCACTTTTTATTTTCCAGATGATTACAAACAGTTGTGTCCTCATGGCAGTGGATTGTTATCCTTGCCAGTTTCCTCCGAACAAAGTCTGAGCGACCACACAGGTACTCTCTCTCTCTCTCTCTCTCTCTCATACATACTAACTGATTGTATTGATATCCCTGAGATTTTATGGCTTCACTCCACACAGAACTTTACATTGGCACAGAAAAGTGCAGTCTCAGCCTGTTTTATTTCCACCTGCATAAACCTTTAAAGCCAGATAGAATGACATAATCCCTCACTACATTTACAAGGCCAAGCCTTAATGGGATACCTGCCTGCATACCTGGCTAATTACTGTAACCATAGTTGTCCTGACAGCTTCTTACAAGAAGAGTGAACACAGGAAATAGTGTTAGGGTTTTGACTGCTGTTACTTTCCATCTCTCTTATGTAATACCAAGATGCCAATCTCTCTATCCCCTCAGATGCAAATGAGTGTGAGATGTTTGGATCAGACATTTGTAAGAACGGACAGTGCACAAATTTCTTCGCTGCCTATACCTGCTACTGTCGCAGTGGCTTCTACTATGACAACATCCGGCTTGAGTGTGTGGGTAAGAAATGACATGTGTTTCTAGTTATGTAACTTTTGAAAACATCATAATGTAGGTATTTCATCAAATGAAACTGAAGATGATTGGTCGCCTCTCATGCCAGTGTTTTGGCTGCATCTTATGAAGACTACACTTCCCATAAACCTAATTGCTTTTAGCCTACATTTTGATTTTGCACTACATCCATCCAGCATCCTCAACCACTATGCCCCTCCAGCAATCCACCATTTTATGCAGAAAAAGAAAAGATTCAGTGACACATTGTAAAAAATCTCTTCAAAGGGTCTTCAGAGGCTGTAATGTAATGAATTTTTATTGATGATTAAAATGATTAATGTTGCACCCTAATAATTATAACCAATTCTGAATTATGATTTCTTCATATTGTGATGTCTTTGCTTCTCTTTATGAATGTGTTTTTAGATTATGATGAGTGTGGATTTGGAAATGACTGTGAGGATGGAACGTGTGTGAACACGGCCGGGTCTTTCCACTGTTTCTGCAGCCCTCCGTTAGTCCTGGACAGCACACGGCGGCGCTGCATCAGCCTCAACACCACAGAAGGTGTGACAACATTTTAAATGGAAGTGTTCACAGTGGTAGAATTTTTCCTTGCTTGTAATAATTAGGTAGTGTTTAGAGCTTTAGAGTAGAGCTGTAACAATTAGTCATTTAATCAATTAGTTTTCAACCAATAAATTAATTGCCAGCTATTTTGATTATTATTATCATTTTGAGTCATTTTTTTAAAAAAATAATTCAAAATTCTTTGATTTCAGCTTCTCAAATGTGAACAGTTTTTGGTTTCTTTAGTCCTCTTTGACAGTAAACTGAATATCTTTCGGTTGTGGTCAGATCCTACCATTTTAGGACATCACCTTGGGCTTTGGGAGTGATCAACATTTTTCAACATTTTTTCTCAGCCTCTTTGTAAATCCCTCCTCATTCTATTTCCCAGAAACTCTAGAGCCTGATCACGATGTGCACATGGATATTTGCTGGCAGCGTCTGGAGGGGCACAACATGTGTTCGGAACCTCTCCAGAACCGCAGAACTACATACACTGAATGCTGCTGCCTGTACGGCATCGCCTGGAGTGGACAGTGTGCCTTCTGTCCCAGGAAAGACTCTGGTGAGAAGCAGGGGGCACATAGGACACGCTGTTCAATACCTCCTGTCTTTATATTGACACAAAAACTCTTATTAATATCCAAAATATAACTCTGCTCTGTGTGCTGCTGTGTTTAGAGGACTACGCAATAATGTGCAACCTGGCTCGGAGAGGAGGTTCAGACAGTCTGCGAGAGCGGCCAGGATATGAGTACAGTCTTGAGGGCCCAGAGGATCCTGCGGGGCCTTTTGCTCATCCATACTTTGACAGTTATGGCAACCCTGCAGCACCCTATGACATTCCTGAGAGCGATCCTCTCTTCAACGACAACGACTACAGCGTTCAACAGCCATCTGTCCGTGTCCCCATCCCCGGACCACGGGAGTACCAGCCACAACCGGTGGATTCCTATGAAGGTGGGTATATGCGTCCTTCGTAGACAATGTCTATTGTTATTCAAGCAGTACTATATACGTGTATTACCTCTCCCTTAAAGCAGCTAATATTTGATACACTGTCAAATGACAATGTAAAAACAATGTGAAGCTCTAACAGAGATCAAATCTGCTTTATAGTTAGTTTGAGTTTCAGCTAATTTACTCACTGACTTTTTTCCACTTTCTCCCACAATTTCATTGCAAATGCTTAGACAAATTGCAACATGCATGGGCTGAAAAAAAACTGTTATTGCAAGTTTAAGTTTAATTTTGCAGCTGGGCTAACTATTCTATGTAAAATATTGTTCAGTAGCTTAGCACAATAATTTATAAGCTCATCAAACGTTATATGTAATACATATTGGCTTCAAAGTAATTAGTGACCTGTGTAGTACTTCAGTAAATTGTTTTTTTTATGTATATGGATGTAACTATAATGAATATGAACTTTATAGTTAGGAAAGGTACATGAACCCCTCCCCAAAAGAGGTCTATTAGCTCAGTTTAAATGGATTTACCCTCCGCTGACTGACCTGGTTATATACTTGAGGAAACCTCTGAGCACGTGAAGTTCTTACACTCGCAGGATTTAAGGCGGCATAGAGATTAGGGACACCATCCCACTGTGATAATTCCCACCAGCTCGAGGATGTAAACTCACCTCTGACCTCCTTGTTAGAATGTAGAAAACAAAAGAACGAGGATCTTTCTTAACAATAACAGCATCACAAGGTGTTTTTACGTGTGTTTTCTTACATATATCTGTGTCTTATCAGAGCGCCACAGCGCCTTTGAGGGTCTCCGAGCAGAAGAATGTGGAATCCTGAACGGGTGTGAAAATGGCCGCTGCGTTCGTGTACGAGAGGGTTACACCTGCGACTGCTTCGACGGTTACGAATTTGATCTAAACAAGATGGCCTGTATAGGTGGGTTCTTTCCCCAGCATCTTTTATATCTTTCTCAACAGACCACCCACATTTAGACTCCACGTGTTCCAAGTAAAAAAAATTCAGGGACTTTCTAGCATCGAGGGAATCAATCACTTAATCTGGTTACAAAATATGGTGTTGAATCTTGAAATCAGACCGCAGTGAACCCCCCTTTCAGGTTTAAGCCTTTTGGAACCGGGTCTTGGATTCATTTCAGTGAGGTAACTTGCAGTGTATCATCAAGCTCAAGGAGAAGCTTTGAGTTTAACAACCTTGCATTAAGTTATATTTTATGGGAATCTAATGAAAGCAGTGTACTCCTCAAAACCACCGTGTGTTACCCTTTGGTCTGAAATTCCCTAGTCACACACCGCCAAGAGTAAGGAGGCCTTGAATCTTAGCCACTCTGTGTATTACATGAGATATTATATCTTTTAAGTGTACTTTGTTTGTTTTGTAAGAAAGTGAGACTGTCTTGTAATGAAATGCTATGATTAAAATATTCTGTCTGCATACAAGCTTATCAGCTCCAAGGCCAGACATTTTCCCAAGGAAAGTGATTGAATTCCGACACTGTGGAAACATGTGGGAGCTGTGCAACTCGTGCCATGCCTCCTTTCATAAATATCACCACTAGCGATTCCCCAGCAGAACATGACATAAACAGAAGAAGGGTCATTTGAGATTGACTGCTGTGAAATGACAATCAGACCTCCCGTGCCGAAAAAGGGGAAAAGAAAAATCACTTTATGGCCAAAAGGAAACGTAATCCAATGCATTGTTAATTTTACCATCATTCTGAACAGTTCAGCGCTCAACATGGCTGGGAATTCAAGTTCACATCCCATCCGACCAACACGCAACATGACGGCATGTTTGATTAAAGATATACAATATGAGATCTTATGCAACATATGCATACTATCTCATTGAATGCTGAGTGAAAACCTTGTACTTCCAAATGTGAACTTTTTGTGGAACGAATTTAAACACATTTGTTTATTGCTCAGAAGATTGCGTAACGTTTTCAACAATCCATCTCCAGGTTCATTTAGTAGCTGCTGTGGAGCTTTTGATCACATGATTTTTATCAGCACATGCAGTTTGTCAAGTTGTCAGGGTATTGTATAGGATGATTATTTTTATTATCAATTCATCTTCCAATTATTTTCATGATTTATCATTTGGTCAAATCAAACATCTGGTCTTGTCTGACCAACAGTCCAAAACCCCTAAAAGATTAAATTAACTATAATATAATTTACTCTAATGTAAGACAAAGACAAGCAGCAAATAGTCAAATTTAATATCCATGTTGACTTCAAATATTAATAAATCATTGTTGCTGATTCATTCTTATGTTTGTTCGGCTAATCGATTAAGCTAATCATTGAAGCTGTAGAATGGTAACTTTTAGGATTTCTTGTTTTAATGTTAGTTAAACAGTTGACTTTCAAAGTTTGTTGATAGTCAACTGATGAAGATCAAGGGCTATTGATAGAAAGCTCCAGAACAGTTACTAAATGAACATCAAGGGGGGATAGCTTTGACAGCGGCTGTTTCCAAGGTCAACTTTTGAAACTGAAAGAAAGGGGGGAAGAAAGGACGGAATAAAGAAAGGAATGACAGCAAGAAGGGAGAGGTGGAGAGAGGAGGAAGGGATAAAGAAGGGAGAAGGGAGGGAGGAAGAAGGAAGGAAGGTTTAAGGAGAAAAGTTTAATTGAAATGGAAGGAAAGAAAAAGGACAGGAAGGAAGAAAGAAAGGAGGGAAGCAAGGAAGGATGGAAAAAGGGAGCGTGGAAGAAAGGGGGGAGAAAAGAAGGAAGGAGGGAGAGGGACAGATGAAGGAAGAATGAGGGAGGGAGGAAGAAAGGAAGCGAAGTTAAAGTGAAAGCAGAAGTATGAATTACTTTAACATTCCAGCGTCCCGCCACTCAGCAGCAGATGTGGCGCAGGCAGCTGTTTCAGCTGTGAAACCTCCCTGCCGACTAACTCGCCATATCTCCTTTTCCTGCAGACATAAACGAATGTGAGGACATCAGCGACAAGGTGCCCTTGTGTCAGAACGGGCAGTGCACCAACACGGAGGGATCGTACAAGTGCACCTGTTTGCCGGGCTTCGTGGCCTCTGCCAAGCCACACAAATGCATCCCGGCGATCCCAGAGTCCGAGCTCGGGGAGACAGGAAACTAAGACAGTGACTGTTGGAGCGCTGGCTTTTCCTGCTCCCTTAAAGATCACCTTACACCCCTCTGCCCTTTTCCCCAAGGGCCTGGCACTAAACCTCCAACAGTAACGCTGAGACGTCCAAACTTTCCCTATGTACCACTCACACATACGCAGACAAAAAGCACACACACTTGCATTCAGCACCGACACACATGCAGACCCCCTCATACACACTCAAGAGGACCAGGAATTGTGCAGTGAATGTATTACATGGGATTTAGTATTCAGCAGATATCCATTTGCCTTAAAGGGATTTGTGGACTGATATTTTTTATTCAGTAACCCCTGGCAATTTGATATGCCGACATATTTTCCGCATTATTTTCACTTTTTTCTTTTTATTGTATTATTTATTTCATTTACATGACGGGCCTCTGCAAACTAAGAAAGCAACCTATTTCAGAGGGCATACTTGATTCCTCCCTTGTTTTATTCGTCACGCCAATTGACCTCAGAGACAGTGTGGGGAGTTAGTAAATGTATTTTGTAAAAGAAAGAAGGAACGTCATAAGAAATCAGCCACTCATAAATCAGCTTGTGCTTCACTGTCAAACCCTCTCACCAATATTATCTCGCTCAGTCATTGTAATTAGCATTGACCTTGGACTAAATGGATGCCAGGGATGACAAACCATCAGAAATCCAAGCGAGAACTTTTCCCACAGCTGCCTTTGTATTCTTCAAGATTAACTAAGAGCTGAAGAATCTCTGGACCAAGAACTGGGAAGTCAACACAGTCAGACCTACACATTAAAAACGTCAGCCTTTACATGGACCTGGAAAGACTGTAGATGTATATGATGATCTATGTAATGTTTTGAAAAAGGTGCAATAGGTATAACCTGCCTTCCTCTGTTTGACACCACTTTTACAATCTTAATACCAGCAATGAAAAACATGGACTCTGAGTTGCTGATCCCGATTTCTTCTTTTTCTGTTTAACAGTATTAACTTGTTTTATACTTTTACTGTAAAAACCATATGTACCATTGATTCTAGGTTCTAGCCTAACTTCTGAAACCACAGGAAGGTAAATTAGTTTAAATGATCCACAAGTGTCACTGCTTAAAGTGAAAGATTGGTTTTATGTACCAGTGTCACACAGGCAAAAGGATTTTACATTCAACTGCAATGCAATTGTATCCCAGATCTCACATCAGACCATTCCCATGTGTGCATCTCTGAATGCATGTAAAGACAAAGGCTTCGTTGGAGAGGTTTGGTATATTTTGTACAGATCTAGTACTATGTATTATTTTTGTTACATATTCTCTTAATGCATTATAGCGCAACCAATATTTTGTCTGACATAAAGCATAAAATGTAAGAAAATCTGGCATTATAGCTTTGTAGATTTATACATGTCTGTAAAAATGTCTTTTAAAGCATACCTTTTAATGTATGAGGAGAGTGGCTGACACTGTACCAGAGGAACTGTGTGTATACCCTGCCCTGTGGAGCAGACAATGAAATATATTTTTTGGAAGTGGCAGCACTGTTCTAATTACAGACATTTCAAGTTTCAACTCTTCAAGTTCATTACAGAGACAATGCTTTTGAAATGCAAGCACCAACTTCTGTGCATCACACTTTTATGGCTAGATATTAGTATTGTTAACATTATTTCTTTTAGTCCCTGTTGGATCCTTAATGTCATGAATGTATCGCAGACAGTATCAGCCTACTCATTTGGTTTCTAAACTCCCACTCATACCTTTCTGTCTTTTGTATCCAGGTTTTTAGAAATAATGGCATTATCTGTCTAATGGACTGAACTTCTTTCAAGAAATCTCAGCAGCACAGAAACATAAAAGTCTAATTCTAATATTAGAAGATGACTAAAGTTGATGACTTCTGCCCTTCCCATTCCTTCATAACCTATAAACCTACAGGTGTACAAATGTTTCAATTTGATGTTCACTTATTTTACTGTGCTCTTTGAATCATCGCCTGAACCGGACCAGAGGTCTAACATTTAGGACAAAGTTGGAATATTTAAAGCCTTTCAAAACCGCAAATAACATGAGATAAATGTCTTGTTGTAAAGTTGTGGTCATTGGAAATATCATGCTCATTCATTTTGTTTACCTCTTGACTGTAATCACTATCAGTCATCGAAATAAAAACTTAAAAATATCAATCTCTTTGGTGATTTACTCTGAAAAATACCACCCAACACACCTTGCAGTTACTATGTGTAAGTTTGTTATTTGTAATAAAACAAGAGAAGTAAGTTTGTTAGCTGTAATTTGTAGCACAACATGACTACTAGTTGTAATAAAGGCATTAGATGGCATTTTTACACCAAGCAGTGTACTTCTTGAGCAATTTGGTGCAGGTATGTAGGCTACATGGATTACTGGCACAATATTGTTTAAGTAAAAGCAGTGTTACTACTTTCTTTTACTTCAGTACTTCAGTCCTTACTTGATATATTAGCAGAATAAATACCTTTAGTAAATACTAATATTATTGGATTATTGAAGTATATTTTTTATACATTAGTATGTAAGCATGATTGTAATATTACAGTGAGTAAAGGCAGCGCTAATTTGTTTGTTAGTTTGATCTATCACAGTATATCACATGATCTATGCAACAGTGTCAAATCTGAATCTGCAAAGTAGCTCTGCCAAAAATGTAGTGCAGTAAAAAGTACAACATTTTCCCTATAAAATGCTGTGATTATTACATCAATAGAAAATAACAGAAAATGGGTACCTCAAATGTGTACTTCCATTACTTGAGCAAATGCAGTTAGTTTATCATTGACTGGTGTTTTGGTATGAGGCACAGACTTTATATCCTCAAGAGAACAGACTATAAATAGGTCTGGGGACAGGAAATGCCGATCAAAACATGTATTAACAAAATGTCATAAACAACATTTTTTTTAAAAAAGAAAGAAAAGAAATGAGCGTTAAAATATTTTGTTATACTCTGTCTCCCTCTAGTGGCCACATAGATCTGCACAACACTCATCTTTCCCAGCTTTTCCATACTTTTTTCCTATTGGCTAACCGGAGAAGAGGAGATATCCCAGAAGGATTCTGGGAAACTGTGTCTACCCTGCGATACCATACCCAAAGACATAACCCAGCGGAATACACCTCCCAGAAACCACTTCGCTTCATACGTGTTTCGTTGACTCGAGCTACAACCTCTCGTGCTCTCGCTGTGTTGCTAACATTAACAGTATGTGGGTTGCTAATGTAAATCTCTGAGTAATAAAACGGTCCTTTGAGGCGATAGAGATAGAGTTAGCAGTTGGTCGTTGTTTTAAATGCCGCCATTGTACAAGTGGATACTTGTATCAAGCTAGGATAAGTATGCTTTCGATGAAAATGTCTCAACAGCTTGGCGACAATGTAACAAAATATTATGTCTGATAATTGGTTGAGTTGGAAGGGTGTCACATTCACTGTCAATACCGCCTGTTTTGAGATACTGAGAGCTGATACCTGCTGCTCCAACATTAAATATAGTTAATATCTAAATGTAGTCTGAGACAGCACAACTACACATCATCTAGATATCACTTATTAACAAGCTGTTTTTATGATATGATTAGGTAGTGTTGTAGATATTAGACTTGCCCGTCTTGGAAGGGGCTCTGGTCATTTTTATTCTAACGTTAGGTTTTACGTCCTAATGGCAAAGGAAGAATGCATAACACAGTGGAACAAAACAGGGGACACCTCAACACTACGAAACAGGAAAATCTTTCCCACCTCAGAAAAGACCCCATCGACTCCTTTGTCAAAGGACAAAAGCAGTTTGTCAGAAGATGACACCCAGTCCTCAAATGGGACATCTGCTGAGTGGTCGGCCAGAGGAGTTGTCAGTAACGAACCCCCCAGCAGAGGGCTGCTGATGCTGGTTGTGGGGCTGTCCTTCTCTACACGTCTCTACAAGATAACAGAGCCCCCTCATGTGTGGTGAGTTCAAATAAACTGCACAAATGGATGTCGATTTTGTGCAACTTGGTGAGCTATTTTTTTACACGATGACTGTTTCTGGTGTTTCAGCTGGGATGAGACACACTTTGGAAAGATGGGGAGCTACTACATCAACAGGACCTTCTTTTTTGATGTCCATCCTCCTCTTGGAAAAGTGAGAATATCCCTCTTGTGTGGGCTCAATTCTCTTCAAGGAAACCTCTCTAGTATGGGTATTGACCTCCTTTACTCTGTTGCAGATGCTGATAGGCCTCGCTGGTTACATGACGGGTTATGATGGCACCTTTCCTTTTATAAAACCGGGAGATAAATATGAACACCACAACTACTGGGGGATGAGAGGGGTATGCCACTTTTCTTGTTGATGAACAATTTTGATATATAGGACATATGATCTTGTCATGACTTTTAAAAGGACAAGAGATGTTAAGGCTGCTGATGTGTCTGTCCTGCCTCTTGCCCTGCAGTTTTGTGCCGTGTTAGGCTCCTTTCTCCCAATCTTTGCCTACCTCATAGTGCTGGAGTTGTCTCAGTCTCACACTGCTGCTCTCATCACTGCCACCCTGCTCATATTTGGTGAGTCACCATCTGTTTGAAAGGGCTGCACAACTCAAAGACATGTTAAAGTTGCAATACACTAACTACTCTACCTCCCAATGCATTTTCCAAATAAGCCATTCTTTTCATTTCATTGTATGCCTCTCTGACTGATCTTACTAACGGCTATTTTAATAAATATGAGGAGTATCCTGTACCATAAGAATGAATTTTAATGTCATATCATTCAGTGCAACAAAAGGCCTATTAGGATGCAATGATCTGGTTGTAATACGGAGAATTATTTTATATGTGCTTAATTTCACCCTCCTGACAGATACGGGCTGTATCACGATTTCCCAGTACATCCTATTAGATCCCATACTCATGTTCTTCATCATGGCAGCAGTACTGAGCATGGTCAAATTCAACCAGCAGAGATACAGGTAAGACACCTTGAGAACTTTTATATAGGTTTTTTTCAATCTTGTTCTATGCAATGTAATAGTGAAACTATTAGATGATTAATCAATTAGTTGGTCAACAGTAAGTTAATGTATGATTATTTTAAAGTCAGTTCATAAGTTACTCATCAATTTATCCTCAAATTAGGTCAGGTAAAAATGCTGCACATCTGCTGGTTGCAGCTCCTCCTCACACCATTGTAAAGTGATTACTGCAGATTCTTCTGTCAAAGTAAATCGATTTAAGACCTTGCTTTGGTGTTTTGTGATGGACGTCTGTCTTTATTTAGGACAATATTTGTATTATTATTATCATTAGTATTATTTAGGTGACACAATGATTAACTGATAGCTTGAAAGAAAATGAAATAAATCACTATGATGAAATTACTGTAGTTACAGTCCCATAGCAATATCAGTCTATCCTCCATCAAGGACAAATCTTGCTCACAATGTTTAAAGGGTGTTACATTGGCATAAATTACAAGCAATTTGTCTACGCTTTTGTCCACTAGATACACATTTGACTCTTTCTTGCTTGCTGTTGTTTTTAGGCCTTTTACTGCCTCCTGGTGGCTGTGGCTGGTACTGACTGGTGTAAACCTTGCCGGGGCATTGGGGGTGAAGTTTGTGGGTCTGTTTGTCGTCTTGCTGGTGGGACTGAACACAGTCTGGGACCTCTGGAGAATTTTGGGAGACTTAAGCCTCTCAATGGTAAGCGGCTGGTTAACTGACAGAGTTGATGAGTAATGCTCGAGGTTTGACTGTGTTTTCTGACTCCAGGTGGAAATCACCAAGCACTTCCTGGCTCGGGTTGTTGGACTCATCCTGCTTCCCCTCCTCCTCTACATCACAATATTTGCAGTCCACTTTGTTGTGTTGAACAAAAGGTGAGTCTGATCATTATATTACAGATACAGTGTGATTACTGCTCATCTCACAGAATACTGCGTGGTGACATCTGGTTTTTGGGTAGTCATGATTGTTTTCTCTCACCAGTGGACCAGGAGATGGTTTCTTCAGTTCAGCCTTTCAGTCCCGTCTAATCGGAAACAACCTACACAATGCATCCATGCCTGAGTGTGAGTCCCAAACACATGTGTGAATAAAACCACATGACGCTGCAGCTGTGTTTACTAAAACACTAATAAGAAAATGGAAAAGGAGGTCAAAGAGAAATATAGGCATTCCTTACTACTGATGACAATCAGATGGGTTTAAACGTTTGCTTACATTTTACTGCCTTCACAAACATATCAGGTTTTTCTATTAAAGCTTATTGTTCTTTTTATGCTAAGGTCTGCTGTTGGCTAGTGTGGTGGCTTTTTACCACTTAAAATGACCCAAAAAAACCAAACATTAAATGTAATTGTTTCTTGTGTTTCCTTATGATGTGAGGCAATATCTCGTTGTTCTCCTGATGCAGATCTGGCATATGGCTCCACCATTACTGTAAAAAACCTCCGTATTGCTGGAGGCTATTTGCACTCTCATTGGCACTTATACCCAGAGGGAGTGGGGGCAAAGCAGCAGCAGGTCAGACTATAAGAGAGCTGAGTGTGAAACATTCTCAAATATAATTAAACATGCTAATATCTGTCATTTATTCTAAATAAACTGTGTTCTCTGCTATTTCCTTACAGGTGACTGCCTATCTCCATAAGGACTACAACAACTTGTGGCTGGTTCACAGACATGGTGATAATGAATGTGAGAAGATGGGGTTGATTTACTGTTTAGAAATACCAGTAGCTTTCATTTAAGTGATAGTGAAGTGATGTATGAGCCTCTTATTGTTTGTCTCTGTTGTTTATTTCTCTGTTTAGCTCAGTCTGGGACCCCTGATCTGGTTCGTCATGGTGACATCATTCGACTCGAGCACAAAGAGTAAGGATCATGACTAGGGATGCACAATATTTATTTATTTTGACAGATATTATGATTGTGATAGGATTCACGATTGGTGGGAATGATCATTCTTGCACCCCAATTTGGATATATTTGGATATTACACTTGGCCATATTGCGATTTTGATAATATCACGATAATATAAATTTGGCAGCCCTGATAATGACTCCACAGAACAGTAAAATAAAAAATTTAAATTATTTAAAGGATTCAGTGTCATTTCAATCCAAAATTTGTGCATGTTTTTTTCAATAATACAATTTTTCC